AAGACATAATTGTAAGTTTAATACATTCAAAGAATGTATTTAAGATAATTTTTGATAGTCCTGTTTTAATAGATGAATAAATGATTTGCTGTGTCTCTTAATTCTTCCAGTATAGAAAATCATTTAGGGCCGGGCGGTGGTGGCGCACGCCTTTAATCCCAGCACTCGGGAGGCAGAGGCAGGCGGATCTCTGTGAGTTCGAGACCAGCCTGGTCTACAAGAGCTAGTTCCAGGACAGGCTCCAAAACCATAGAGAAACCCTGTCTCGAAAAACAAACAAAAACAACAACAACAAAAAAAGAAAAAAGAAAAGAAAATCATTTAGGGTTGCTCCCATATTCTGTGATAAAGGCTCTTCAAGATACCAGCTTTCTCAGTTAAGCAGTAGAATCAGAAAGGACTTTGTTATGTTTTTAAGGTAAAGGTAAAAAGAAATACACGTGCTGTCTTTGAGTTACTTCATTGTACTGAAAGTTATCCTAAATGCATTTGCTTTCATCTAATAGCATAAGAGTAGAAATTAGTTCTACACTGTTGATGTTTAAAGGTAACTTTGTCTTACATGTCATTTTTTTATTTTTTTATTTTTTGGATTTTCGAGACAGGGTTTCTCTGTAGTTTTTGGTGCCTGTCCTGGAACTAGCTCTTGTAGACCAGGCTGGTCTCGAACTCACAGAGATCCACCTGCCTCTGCCTCCCGAGTGCTGGGATTAAAGGCGTGCCCCACCACCGCCCGGCTTACATGTCAATTTTTTATTTTAATTTTCATAGGAAAGTCGATCTGTCTCTGCTTCCATCTCTTTCTCTCCCCTACTGTTCTACCCTAAGAAGTGTGTTGTCTTAGCCCTGATAATGAGCTATATCCCAGAGCTCCTGCCTTGCTTGTGTGCTCATAATAGCACTGTGGTGCAGTAGGGTTTTGCTTAGTTTAAGTCTAATTATGTCTCTAAATCTTAGCTCTTATTTTCAGCTATGGTCAGTGTACTTGTTTCTAGAATACTACCTAAGAATTGTGGGAAACCTTTAGCAAAGAAATCACCTCTAAAAGGCTGTAAGCTTCACTGAAGGCTTTTAAAAATTCTTTTTTACTTCTTAGATTTAAAAACTTGCAATTATTTGTGACTGGAGAGATGGCTGAGTGGTAAGAACGCTGGCTGTTCTTGCAGAGAATGCAGGTTCAATACCTAGTACCCATGTACATGGTGGCTAGCAATGTCTGTAACCTGAGTTCCAAGGGTTCTGACATCCTCTTCAGGTTTCCTTACATATCAGGCTTGCACATGGTACATATAAATACATGTTGGCAAAATACCCACACATATATAATAAAAATTTAAAAATATCGATTATTCATTGTGTGTGTGTGTGTGGTTGGTGGTGGGAGCATGCTATGCGCGTGTGTGGAGGTCAGAGAACAACATGCAGGATTTGGTTCTCCACCCTGCCGGCCCTAGGGTTGTACATGGGTTGTCATGCTTAGTGTGGCAGCAAGTGCTGCCCTCTGCTTCGCCATCTTCTGCCTCTCTTAGGAGTTTTTCCCACTCAAAGTTTACTTCTCGGATAGTCAGCATAGTAAATGTTTGTGATAATCCTATATTTGCTGAGTAGATAGCTGTTAAGCCTGCATTTGTAGAAGTATATCCAATTTTTAAAAGACCAAAGCAACATATTTTTTATGTTATATCTAATCATTAATGATCAGCAAGCCAAGTTTGCTCCTGCAGTGCACCGCATCAATGATGCATAGTCTGGAGGAAGTTGGTTTACTTAGAACCAGTATCCTGTTCTACTAGAAATAAACTCTAGGTACTAATATGACAGGCATTTTTCTAATGTCAGATTTATTTAGATGAGAGACTAAAGTTATAGAAGCTAAATAAAGCGACATGGATTTATAATTGCATGATGGATGAGTTCTATTCAGGGAATTCTTGTGAGCCTATGACTGTTCCAAATGTGAAAACATTAGAACAAAAGGATATGATAGCTGTTTTAAATGCCAAATTGTGTGTGATTAATTTGTGTTTGGGAACTATAATTAGGAAACTCTTTTGTATTAGCTTTGAAGAGAACATTTTGGAAAGGTATCAGTATGTTTTGTTTTTAGAGAGTGCCTATGGTGCTCTCTTTAGACTCCTGGCATTCTCCCCTAGAGCCAAGTGGAACCACTGGGCTAAATTGCTTGCTCGTCCAAGGTCTGCAGCTAAGGAATGGTGGCACCTGTGCTTGACTCCATCGCTCTCTCCACTGTTCCTCCGCCTTCATCAGAAGCAGTTAGTGCGGTGCAACCTGTCTGTGTTTAGTGCTTTCGCTCCTCTCTAGACAGTAACTTTTTCTGCCAAGTGAATAATAGAGAACAGTGAACTGGGCACTTGAGGGCTCAGCCAGGCTCTCCCTGGGCAGTCTTGGCTTTCCTGGAACTTGCTATGTAGACCAGGTTGGCCTCAAACTCATAGAGTTCTATCAGCTTCTATTTCTCAAGTGCTGAGGTTAAAGGTGTGCACCACCGTACCTGGCCACTACTAAATACTTTTGACAGAGCCACAGAGGTCCAGATAAATAGACTTTCATGGCCTAAGTTTTAAAGAAAAGGTCCTGATAAACTTTACAGCAGATTTTTTTAAAAAGCGTAATTATTCTGTACCCTTTTAGGAGTTCAGATCTATCCAATCTTACAAGAAGACCTACCATAAACACTGGCAACAATTTTGTACATTACTGCCTTAGAATTTCCCTTGGAAACCCAGAGTGCGATTTGAAAATTTTTTAGTTTTAGGGCTTTTTAAAACTCTAATTGAAATTCAAAAAATGTGGTCAGATTTGCATATTTTAGAAAGCATTTAACTTCACTCATTATAGTTAAAATTATAATTTGAAGTTATTCATATGATATGATATGAAACTAATTATATGATTTGCAAGTTCAAAGTATAAGGTTCTATTAAATGGAATTCTTTGATTTAACAAGTAATATGTGATCTAGGTTCATGAATGTCATTTTCTAACATTTGGAATGTTATATATCATTTGCATTTTTAAAGTTTTCTTTATGACTGGGGGATGGCTCAGTTGATAAATTACTCTCTATGAAGACATGAGGACCTGGGTTCAGATCTCCAGTACGCTGATAAAAAATAGGTACAACAGAACATGCCTGTAATCCCAGTGTTGGGGAGGTGGAAGCAGGAAGATTTGCTGGGGTCTTCTGGCCTTGGGCAAGCTCTGGGTTCAGAGAAAGACCTTTGGTTGGAAAGACACTGACATCAGCCTCTGAACACACATTCAGGAAATTTATTCAAACATACATATGAGTACACACGCAATCACACATACAGTGTTTAATTTATAGCTGTATTTCATTGATGTTATGTTTTAAAATATAACATAGTAAATGGGTTGATGTAGATTGAGCTGAGACTAAAACAGTACTGGTGGAGAAATTGAAACCTATTCATGAGAGCAAAATTAGCACAGAAATATCCTGTGTATATTTAGAGGTTCTTTGAAGTTATGTCAGTCATTAGTATCGAGAATTCTTTATTGCTATATTTATTGCTTCAAATACATTTTTAAAATTTCTACTTTAATTTTGTAACTTTTAGTGTACTTTTATATTTAAGTTCCATATTCCTGTAAGTTTTAATCTAAAAATCGTGTTGCATTTATGAAAATTTCCCCTTCCCTATATTAGAACTGAATACTTTTTACTTTTTCTAGAGAAGTATTTTCTCATACTACAAATTTAATTTAGTAAAAATATCTGAATAAAATAGTTGGTACTGTGGGCACATGCCTCACACCAGGGCTGGTTGGTTGGTTGGTTGGTTGGTTGGTTGATTGAGTTTTCTTGCCTCTTCCTTCCCCTCCTTTTTTTTTTTTTTGTTCTTTCTTCCCCCTTCCTCCTCCCATGTCCTCTCCTGTGTTTCTTCCCTCTCTTTGATATATCCTTTACTGAAAATTTATTTCCCACCCTTCTTTATCGCCTTCAGGAATATCGCTCCAGTTTGACAAGAAGAGAGAAAAGTTAGTTTGGATGCTTCTGTCACTTCAGAAATCAGCTCCCTGGAGTTCTAGGGTTACGTCTTGCTGAGTAGAGAGCATTTCTAGCATGAACTTGATGTTGATTTTGACCCCCACCCCATTGCTGTATACACTGGGTGAAGTGGTACTAACCTGTGTAAACTCAAGGCGAATCAGAAGTTCTGGGTCTTTCTTGGCCCCACAGCAAGTCCAAGGCCAGCCTTGGCTACACGAGGACCTGTCTCAGAAGGGGGGGGGATGGGGAATTAAGAAATGAGCTTGCTAGGAGGAAAGCTCTGAGCGGATGATTTCATGTAAAGTGGTTCAGTAGCACAAAAGCAGTATTCAGCTTGACATTGGTGGACTCGATTGCCTCTCTCTGAGTTAATTCTTTTGAAAGACTCACTTTTATTCTTTGAGAATTTCACAATGCATAAAACAGTTCTTTTATATGATCATATTCAACCTCCAGGCTTCCCCCAACTCTTCCCAGATATACACCCTTCTTCCTCCCTCCACTTAACCCCCTTCTGTATTTTGTTCTTTTAATTCTTTTTAATGTATACATGTGATTGATTGAGTTGATGAATACTATGTGTATATGGGTGCAGAGGCCAGAAGGGAGTGACAGGGCCCTTGGGCTGGAGTTGCAAGCAGTTATGAGTTGCGTGATGTGGGTGTTAGGAACTGAACTCAGGACCTTTGGAGGAATAGCAAGTGCTCTTAAGCCTTGAGCCATCTCTCCAAGCTCCCACCTCCTGTAAAACAAACAAAAAAAAAAAAAAACACAGAATCTAGTTTGGCTCCACCTTAATTTTAAAGAAATACAGTGAGATGCCAATAAGCCATAGTAGTTTGAGCTCTATAAGCACAGATGAATATCAAGTATATCTAAATGGAATGGCTCGTATTTACTCTTTAACATAATGACTGTATATTCAAAAGTTGTAATAATTGAATATTGGCATTTCCCCCCAAAGGTTTTGAAAGAGGAAAAGAAGATATTTCTCAAAATAAAGATGATTCTTCACTTTCAATGTCAAAGAGCAAGGTAGGCATATTATTGTTCCCAATGTATAATAGTACATTTTTCCAATATTTAAAGTGAAGATACTGAACTGAAATCCTGTAAGTGTTCATAAGAATTTTTATGTTGGTATGTCTCAACCTTGTAGTATATATCAAAAGTATAAAGGTCTATACTCGGACTGATTTATCGGGAGGTCTGGGTTTGGTTACTGCTGTGTTAATGATTGAGACTAATCGACCCCTTACATGATTTTTGATCATGTGAAATGAATATAAAACCATGCTATTAATTTTAAGGTTTTATGAAGATTAAATAACTATTAACTATAAACTCAAAACCTACATTTTTATTAATCATTAAATTAATTATTTTTGTCATTAATAATAATTTAATGATAATCATAATTTAATAGTTAATGACAAAATGAAAGGTGGGAGGGCACAGATCCTGGGAGTATTGATGTTGAAACATTGGACAGCTAAAGTGTCTTAGCCTTAGTTTGTGAAGATGACTGGGGTTGGGTAGTTGGGTAGTTCATGTGTCGGTCTGATGAAACTTCCCTTTTTTGTTTAGCACTTTTCAGAGGTCACTTAACACTGCTTTGGCAATTTTTATCCTAAGAATAACGGAATAATTGTATGTTTTTAAAAAATGTTCTGAGAAACAGAGTATAAAATTTAGAAATATTAACTTCACGTTGCAGATTAATTTTTGAACGTGTGTGTGTGTGTTAACACAAATACCAACAAGGGAAAACCTTTATTGAAAATGTGCATTTGCTTAAACCATAGCAGCAAATGGGAAGCGTGTAAGAAACGTAACGTGTTTTATGTGGTATGTGAAATAAATGTAAGCTTTAGTTCTCATCTTTTTATTTCACTTCCGTCTCAGTCTGAATCTAAACTTTACAATGGCTCAGAAAAGGACAGTTCCAGTTCGAGTAAACTCACCAAGAAGGAGTCTCTCAAGGTCAGTTTCTGTGCTTGCCTTAGGATTATAATGACATTTCTCCCTTTCCTCCCTCTACAACCCCCCCCGTATGCCCTTCCCTGCTCTCCTAAATTCATGGCCTCTTTTGTTAATTGTTATTGCATGCATGTGTGTCTATTCCAAAATATAATCTCCTCAGTCCAGCCAGTGTCACTCGTAAATGTGTTTTCAAGGCTGTCCATTCAGCACTGGACAGCCAGTTGGGGTATTCTTCCCCGAGGAGGGCCTGGGTTTTCTCAGTTGCCTATAGTTGTTTGTATGGGACTGAGGCTTTGTACGCTTTTCCCTGTCCCCCTTACATGCCAATTGGAGTTGTGTAGTGTGAATTCTAATTGGTCAGATATCGGGTTACATGCTGAAAGATAAGAGAAGTAAAGGAGCCAGCCACTAGAGAGACTTCTTACCTCTACCAGTTCCTAGCCCAAAGGGATCTCTGCAAATCCTCAGACTGAATGGGCAAGAAATCCTGTCTCCATCCGCCTTATATTCCTATCTCCACTTCCCTAGTGCTGGGTTAAAGGCCTGTGCCTCCCAAGTACTGGGATCAAAGGCATAAGATTCCAAGTGCTGGGATCAAAGGTATGTGCCATCACGGCCTGATCTCTATGGTTAACTACTGGCTAGCTCTGCCCTCTGATTTTCAGGCAAGCTTTATTTGTTAGAGCACAAACAAGACATCACCACAGTGATCTTGTTCAGCTCACGTTTGGACAGTCATGTTGGTGGAATTTTACAGGTATAGTGTTTGGTGTTACTATGAAACAATCAGCAAACTTCCTGATCCTGTCACATTGTGCGTAGTATGTGCTTTTGGAAATGGTCTAATACAAAATATTTATATGTGTGCTTGTAAAGGGAGAAGAAAAACTCCAGAGGGATGGAAAGGCAAAATGTTACTATTTTTATAGTGTGAGGTCAGCTGGTGATCACTTTTGATGACTGTTGAGAGCAGGCTGTTTCCGGCTTCAGCTGGCCATAGCACAGGCTCGGGATCAGTGTCCCTTCCCAGCTTTAACAGCAGCGTGACACCCATTGTGTGTGGAGCATCAGTGGACATTTCTGGCGTTCATTTAAATTAGTTTGCCAACTACCAGGCCCATAGGAGTAAGCATTTTGTTTGACCTGTATTGCATTTTAAATTTTGAGACAATAAACGTCCAGATTTCTAATTTCTCTTTAAGAAATGTGCAGTGTTGGGACTGCCTTCTTGACTGGCCACAGATCTGGGAGCTTACAGGACACACGCTCTCTACTGGTTGTGGTACCTGCTGATCCATCTCGTCCATCTGTGTTCTGTGGCTGGTCCTGTGTACATCTGCATTGGCCATCTCATGGTAGACCACAGTGGGTAATAGCATAGGCTGTTCTTTACAGGACCTGAGTTCAGTGCCCAGTACCCACATGGCCCAGTTCAGAAGATCTGAGGGCCTTTTCAGTCCCCCACAGGCACTGCATACATACAACAGACATACTTGTGGGCTGGAAAAATACCAGTATACAAAATAAAAGTAAAGTCTCAAAAAAATAAAATGCTGTTAAGTCTAAGGCACGAAAGGTATATAACATTTAAACTTTATTATGTGCGTGTTATCTCAAATTTAACTTTGATAGGTTTTTATCTTATTTAAGGAAAAACTGTAGACACTAATAGGTTATTACTCTTTCCTTTCCCCCCATTCAAATAAAAAACAATAATAAAACTATTAGTTCACTTCTGTTTTCTTGGGTTACTTCATAGAAATAATTTACCTATAAAACCTATAAAACTAAAATGGTTTACTTGTTCTTATTTATTTCAGTCTTAGATTTTCGTAAAATGAAAGGTCACAACTTCCATTTGGGAGTAGTTGCAGTATTGTTTGTAGTAAACAAAGCTAGGAGCTAAGACAATTTCTACCAGTAAGAGTGCTTTAGAAAAACAGCCTGGCTCTTTCGAACACAGCTGTGGAAGGCAGTCTGTCTTGGTTTGGATCTGGCTTCACACCTTGATAGCAGTGTGATTCTGGGCACATTGCTGTCTCTGCCTCAGTGTTCTTGAATGTAATAAGGCTAATAATACTTCTACTTGAAAAGCTAATTGTGGTGATTGAATGAAGTAATGTTATAGATACGAGTTTAGAATAATGACAGTTCACCAAATGCACTCGGTGTCATCATATTTTATTTGAGCTGGGGATCCTCTAGCACAGGTGAAAGAATATGGTAGACATAGAAACTCTCAAAACAAACCAAAAACCCAAAAGCCAGCAGTGCTACTCAAAAGCCTTTAGTCCTAGTGAAGGCAGAGGCAGGCGGATCCCTGAGTTCCAGAACAGCTCTACAGAGAAACCCTGTCTCCAAAACCAAACAAACAAGTCAAATGGATTTTTTGTTTTTAAAAACATAGAAGCTGTGCATTTCTACAGATTGTATCTGAAGGGGTAAAAGAGATTTAAAATGATACAGAGGCCTGGACTAGTGGTCACAGAAGCCAGGCTCCTACCTGTGCTGTCAAAGCTTCTTCCAGTTTTTTATCTTAAATGCTGGAGTTCTAAGAAGTTGTTTCCTCTACTGAGTGTTTTGTTTCTATGTTAAATTAGGTACAAAAGAAAAATTACCGTGAAGAGAAGAAGAGAGCCACGAAGGAGTTGCTCAGCACCATCACAGACCCTTCTGTCATTGTCATGGCCGACTGGCTGAAGGTCAGGCTTGGGTTTGAACTCTCGCTGAGTGCTTATTCACTGGGCTGAGAAAGCTCGAGACAGAACAAAAGCTAGGTTCTCGGCAGGAGGGAAGGTATTTCTGTGTTCTGTGTGCCTATCTTCACAAGGGCACATGCTGATAGCAATTCAGCTCAAAGGACATTTTGATTAGCGTGATACTGTGTTGCACACTGTACCTCATTATAAAGAGATTTTATTGTTCCACTTACCGTTTGATATTATTGCAGATTGGAATTTGTGTTGCTAGGACAAGAGGAGGACAAGTTGATATGAAAGCTGGACCTCAGAAGCACTGTTAAGCTCACATTGCTGTTCAGTCCCTTTTCCTCATCCAGTCACTGTCTTCCAAGGCTCACCCGAGGGGTAGCTCTGGGAATCTTTACTCCTAACTTTGTAAGACTTTGACCCCGGAAGCCCTAGTGCCTGATATTTTCCACAGCCCTAAAGACTTCTCTTTTCCTGGAATTAGCAAAGCTGCTACCCAGTGGTTCTTAGAGATGTTTGAAAAAGTTCTTCCACTACACTGAGAGTCCTAATCACGGTTGTACACAGCTCAAGTACTGCAAGGGTTTTCTTTGGTTTTGTGCTGAAAATAAATTCCAGTTTACCTCATCTCTTCTGAGAGCTCTGGATCCCACTTGTTTTCTTTCCCAGAGCTCTTCTCCATATGCCCTACAAGTCCCCAGACATCCTTAGGACAGAAGGGTCCCTCCTCCCCTCCCCTCCCCTCCCCTCCCCTCCCACTCTGTTATTTTAAAACAAGGTATTGCTCTATGTAGCCCTGACTGGCCTTGACACATGGCAGTCCTCTGGCCTCAGCATCTCAGATGCTGGGATTATATAGGTATTCATTTGTAACAGGAGGCTGTTTGCTCGTTTCCCGGCCACCCAGACACGAATCATAACACAGAAACTATATTAATTACAACACTGTTTGGCCTGTTAGCTCAGACTTCTAATTAACTAACTCTTACATCTTAAATTAATCCATTTCTATTACTCTGTGTTTAGGCAAGAGGCTGTGGCTTACTGGTAAGGATCTGGCATCTGTCTTCTTTGTAGCTACATGTTGCCTTCCTGACTTTGCCTACTCTCTCTATATAGCTCTTCCAGCCTGGCTATATGCTGCTCAGCTATAGGCTGAAGAAGCTTCTTTTTTTTTTTCCACTATTTTATTGATTTTTATTGCGCTTTCCATTTTTCTCTGCTCTCCCCCCTGCCTCTCCCCTCCCCTTCAACCTTCTCCCAAGGTCCCCATGCTCCCAGTTTTCTCAGATCTTGTCTTTTTTTCTACTACCCATGTAGGTTAGGTCCATGTATGTCTCTCTTAGGGTCCTCATTGTTGTCTGGGTTCTCTGGGATTGAGATTTGTAGGCTGGTTTTCTTTGCTTTATAATTAAAAACTACTTATGAGAGAGTACATGTGATAATTGTCTTTCTGGATCTGGGTTACCTCAATGAAAATGATGTTTTCTAGCTCCATTCATTTTCCTGCAAAATTCAAGATGTTACTTTTTTCTGCTGTGTAGTACTCCATTGTGTAAATGTACCACATTTTCCTTATCCATTCTTCAGTTGAAGGGCATTTAGGTTGTTTCCATGTTCTGGCTATGACAAACAAAGCTGCCATGAACATAGTTGATCACATGCCTTTGTGGCATGATTGAGCATTCTTTAGGTATATACCCAAAAGTGGTATTACTGGGTCTTGAGGAAGGTTATTTCCTAATTTTCTGAGAAATCGCCACATTGATATCCAAAGGGGCCATACCAGCTTGCATTCCCACCAAGAGTGTTCCCTTTATCCCCCATTCTGTCCAGCATAAGTTGTCATCAGTGTTTTTGACCTTGGCCATTCTTACAGGTGTAAGATAGAATCTCAGAGTTGTTTTGATTTGCATTTCTCTGATAGCTAAGGATGTTGAACATTTCCGTAAGTGTCTTTCTGCCATTTTATATTCCTCTGTTGAGAGTTCTCTGTTTAGGTCTGTAATCCATTTTTTTTTATTGGATTATGTGTTCTTTTGGTGACCAATTTCTTGAGTTCTTTGTATACTTTGGAGATCAGACCTCTGTCAGAGGTTAAGAGCATTGCCTGCTCTTCCAAAGGACCTGAATTCAATTCCCAGCTTATTATATGCAGAATAGCATATGCTTAGTGTTTATAGTGAAAATGCATCTAAGAAATACACCCTCTGCTGACCTGCAGACATACACACAGACAGAAAATTGTATACATGATAAATAAATAAATAATTTAAAAAAATAAAAATGGCAATCTTACCAAAAGCAATCTGCAGATTCAATGCAATGCCCATCAAAATCCCAGCAAAATTCTTCGCAGACCTCTAAAAAACAGTACTCAACTTCATATGGAAAAGCAAAATATCCAGGATAGCCAAAACAATCGTGTACAATAAAAGAACTTCTGGAGGCATCACAACCCATGACTTCAAACTCTACTACAGAGCTCTACAGTACTGAAAACAACCTGGTATTGGCATAAGAACAGACAGGAGGACCAATGGAACTGAATTGAAGACCCGGGTATCGAACACCTGAATTTTGACAATGAAGTAGCTTCTCTATTAACCAATGGCAATAAAACATATTCATAGCCTACAGAGGGGATTCCCACATCATATATCTTCATCCCTGACTCTGTCTGGTCCTCCCTTCATTTCTGACAGTTGACCCTCTTTTCTATTGTCACATCTCTAAGATCAAGGATGTTATGTCAGGGTAGCTCTCTTTCCTTTGATTCTCTTGGCTTGCCATCTCATTTATGTAGAGAGATGTACATGGACACACCTCTTCTTAATACTTTTCTCTTTTTATTCCTGGCTCCAGAGTCTCCCTAACTTTTTGTATCTTGGAATCACAGTGGTTCTGCCCATTTTGCTCCTCAATGAGTCCTGTTTTCCTTTCACAATTCATGTACATGCAGCTGGTAAAGGTGAAGAACGCTCCTGCTTTAGTCTGAATCCTATGCTGCATCCTGTTCAGCGTTGTGAAGCCAGTGAATTACCTATTATCAATTTTTAATAGAGTACAGACGTAGAAAGTGATAGATGAACTTGCTAACATTATTGACAGATAATATAAGATAAGATAAGGAGCATTTCATAAAAACAAGTGATGTGCTCACACTTAAAGGCCTCCTCCTAGACAGTTATATAGCACACCTTAACTAAGGAGGGCAGCTGTAGGAGCTAGGTAGACTCTGGTTTGGAAGAGAAATCTTTCTTCTTCCCACTATTTACCAAATGTTTAGGAAATGTCTTGGTTTTGCCAAAAGTGTTCAGAAAAGGAAAGTTAGAAAAGGCAGAATAATCATTTATTCCCACAAATTACATTCATAACAACTGCTACCAAAAGAATAAATTTAGTACTTTGGAAGTTTATTTTATTGATGCCTGAAGTGATCTAGGAGGTTTGTACTTCATGTATAATTTTGAAACTTTGGCCTGTTATTCTATGAAAATCTGAGCTTCTTCAAATCAGGAGCCATGTCGGCTCCATATTCATCTGCACAGTATACATGAAGTAACCTTTTCACTACAGACCTGTTCAGTGTAATGTATGTGTAATATAACTTTAGATTAAAGTGTCCCCGTAGCCATTATTCAGTTTGTTATTCTGTAGTCAAGAAAGAGAAGCAGATATCAGTCTTATAATAAATATATTTTTCTGTAGATTCGTGGTACCCTAAAGAGCTGGACCAAGTTATGGTGTGTGTTGAAACCTGGGGTGCTTCTGATCTATAAAACACAGAAAAATGGCCAGTGGGTTGGAACAGTCCTTCTGAATGCTTGTGAGATTATTGAACGTCCATCAAAAAAGGATGGCTTCTGTTTCAAGCTATTCCATCCTCTGGAGCAGTCTATTTGGGCAGTGAAGGTATGTGAGCACTTGTTGGGGGACACGGTAAAGGGGACAGTGGGAAGGAAGGTGAGCCAACCAGATGCCTTCTATCCTTGGCCAGGACTCCTGGACCTGCTCCTGCCTCCACAGCTGTATTTGTCCTTTTGTCTCTATGCTCCCGTGGGTGACAGAGAGCCTTTGCTTATTGTTAGGACCTAAACCAATTTCCCGAGAACATTTTCCCAGTGTATTGGATTTTGTTTTCTCTTTTGTTACTGAAGATTAAATTTATATTTTTTTATTAATTGCAGTTCCTGATACTTCTGTGTAACCTTGTGTAATGTTGACTGCATTTTTATTCTTCATCTGAATGGTAGCCTGGAACAGAAACTGATACATTTTTGTGGCCCTCCCTGTAGTGATGGGGATATGTGAGAAGCTGCCCTATTTGGTCTTATGAGATGTGGCTTTCTTTAAAGATAGGAAACTAATGTTTTTATAACTGAAGGTATTAGTATGGTCCCTGAATGCTGAGCAGCAGAAATAAGCAGGAAAACAGAAATGTATTCTTTGATTAATGGTCAAAGAGCTCTACAAAAGTAACAATGTAGCTTACATTAACCAAATCACCAAATCTTAAGTTTTCACAGTGAGATCAATCATTGCTTTAGTCTCTGGGATGATCATGTTCACCTTGACTAAAGGACTAAATGTATACCCAGACAATATTGATGTCCCCAGGAAAGGATTTAGGATTTCTGTTACTCTAGTCTACATTCATTGAGGAATAAATTTAAGATTACATAATTATTTCTGTTTTGGAATTCTATTTTTTTACTAGTGAATTATAATTAAATGTCCAACTACCTAATTAGACTTCTAGTATTTCTCATCTAGTGATACCTATAGAATGAAAATTCTTGTTAGAATTAGAAATGTATTAGTATGATAAATTTTAGATCTTCCTGTGATATGAACAACATGAGTGGACCAACCACAGAGCAACGAACCTAATCTGTTATTTCCCTTATACCTAGGAGGATGTAGAATTCTCCTAATACAAATAAGATTGAATCCTATAGTAGTTTTCCTAGTAGGTAACAACATTAAAATCTAGATAGTCTGATTCTAGGTCCTAGTGTTTGTCTTTTAATTTTTTTAATAGCCACAGTTAATGAAGCAATTCTTTTTTCTTTCTTGAAGGTTTTTGCGATCAGTCTTTAAAACAGATAGTAATTGACAATAAAGTGAATGTTGATTCTTCCATAGACCCAGTTAATATTCTTTTCCCTTTATCTAGTGAATTATATTTTCAGTGACTTTTTCAAACTTCTAGAAATACAGTATTCTTATGTAGTAAAATCTGTAAAATGGAAATTCTTCTTAATTGTGTCAGTATCTTATATATTAGGTTTTCTTTAGCATATGAGCACTATGTCCAGATAATATTTAAATGATAAATACTATCATTTGTTCAATTTTATTCAGGGAGTGTATTTGTTGGGAGAAAATACTTGTATACTAAAACTGGTATTCTTAAAGCAGATGTAATTAAAGCTGATTTGGTTTTAGATTATAATTGTGCCTGATATAACCTATATCTGATATAAATAATAAGACTAACCTATTGTTGGCCTATTTCAATACTTATCCTGTACCTGTACCTTCTGTTTTCTTATTAAGGGTCCAAAGGGTGAAGCAGTTGGATCCATAACTCAACCCTTACCCAGCAGTTACTTGATTATTCGAGCGACCTCAGAGTCAGATGGTAAGTACTTTTTGGTGGATTGGCTCTCATCTTTCAGGAATTATTTTACATATTTTGTGTTAACCTTGGATTAAATCAGATTTTTTAGGACACTTGAAGCAAGTAACCATAAACTTTGTGGACTGCAAACTACATTGCTAGCTCTGTGGACAAAGAACTCTAGTAGGAAGGACACGTGTAACTGGACGGTGTCTGCAGCTCGGGTTTTCTTGTTCTCCCCTGACGTAATGCTTTGGAGACTTAGTAGTAGTTTTTTTTTTTTTTTTTTGTAGCAGTTCATTGAATGTTATCGTTTTAAGAGAATATTCAACCTATGAGCTGTCACTGCATTAACAGTGATTATGGAGCATATAACACTGGTTTGATTTTATTTTACATAAGAAAGCAAAATACAAATAACTATCCACACACACCCCGCCCTGTAGCCAGATCCATAACTTATCTGGCAAATAATACAGAGAGCAAAACACCCGCACACGCACACTTGCGCGCGCGCGCACACACACACACATGCACACACAACATACTTTAGTAGCTTTCTAAGTGATAATGAACTTATCTTTACTGTCACACTTTATAGTTTATATTAGCTTGATGTAGGAAATTTTAAAACCTTCTAGTGCTGACTCTTATAATACTAGAGAATTACTGTTTATATTAAAATATAGACATTATGAAAATGTTTTTATGGTTTATTTTTTTTGCCAGATCTTGAAACAAGTATATATGGATTCTAGCAGTACTTAAATATATTACTATATTTCCTAATTCCACTGATACAATTCTAAATTATAAGAAAGCTATTAATATTGACAGTCATGGCATGGATAGGTATTTTCTTGACTTAAAACAAGAGCTGCATGTTTTCTTCTGTATGTGAGATCTAACAAAGCTCCAGAGACAGTGTGAGAGGGGAAGCAAACAATCGGAAGTAAAGAGAATGCAGGAACCCTTCAGAGGGGTGGGGTGGATATGCTCTCCATGCCTTAGAGCAGTGTCAAATGCCACAACAAAGCCTGTGCTTGACTGGTGCACACTCACATGTGCACAGAGTGAATGATGAACCTGAGGACAGCAGCAACAAAACATTATTTCAGTTAGTTTATAGTACAGAATCACCTTCTCTTCAGTGTATTTTATGGACCTTGTTTGATACTTTAAAATTGCATATTGCCTGGCGTTGGTGGCGCATGCCTTTAGTCCTAGTTCTTGGGAGGCAGAGGCAGGTGGATCTCTTGAGTTCGAGGCCAGCCTACTCTACAGAGCAAGTTCCAGGACAGCCATGGCAGCTACATAGAGAACCCATATCTTGAGAGACTGAAAAATGAATGAATGAATGAATGAATGAATAAAATTGCTTGTTAATGTTCTAAGGTTTGTCATATTTTATTTTAGATTGGACGTACTTGTATAATACATACTTTCTCTTATTTATTACAATTTTTAAAATGCTTATTGCTTAAAAAGCACTTATTTAAAAAAAGATTGCATTAAAATCCTGGCAAACTTTTATGTTTAAATTAATTTTTCCGAAAGTACTTGTTTCTCAAAGAGACAGTATGCTTTAGGTTAAGAGGATTAAATTAAATCAGTGCAGGTTTCATTTATTTTCTTGCTTGTAAACCCATGTTCTTCTAGGAAGGTGCTGGATGGATGCCCTGGAGTTGGCTTTGAAATGTTCTAGTCTTCTTAAACGCACAATGATCAGGGAAGGAAAGGAGCATGACCTGAGCATTTCATCAGATAACACACATGTGACCCTGTACGGTTTACTGCGTGCGAACAATCTCCACAGTGGCGACAACTTCCAGTAAGTGGCTGTGGCTGCAGATTTGGTGATGCTTTTGGAGACTCTCCTCTCCACTAAGTCGGTTGTCCTTTCTACTACCTCGGTAATGTGTGTAGTGTTGACATTTGCCTGTCTTATTATGTGGCTTACGAATCAGGGATTTATTTAATTTAGTCACTGTACACTATTCTTTTTTCCAGGAACAGCGAGCTTGTCTTTGTGCATTAAGAATGGTTTCTGTTTCTTGCTGTCTCCTTCTCCCATAATCCCATTTCAAGATCAGTTTGAATACTGTATCCTCTATGAAGCTTTCTTGCCTCAAAACAATGAGAAAAATCCTCTCTTCCATTGTTCTTTTCTTAGCATGCTTTGTAATGGCTCTGGATTGTGCCTGCCATTTGTAAAGCATTTTTATTTATTGTCTTATGTGTGGGGGTGTTTTACCTGTATTTATGTCTGTGCACCACATTCCTGCAGTACCTTCAGAGGCCAGAAGAGGGTGCCATGTCTCCTGGGACAGGCGTTACAGATGATGTTAATGCTGGGAACTGAATCTGGATCCTCTGGAAGAGGAGCCAGTTCTCTTGACCACTGAGCTGTCTCTCCAGTTCCTGTGAACACATTTTTTAGTAGAAACTATGTCTGATTTGTGGTTTTTGTCTCCTGAGCATTTCTTGTAGCTAATACCAACATAATATTTCACTGGCAAAACTGGGATGCAGTGCACAGGTAATTTTCGGGTGCTGGTATCCTTTTATTGCTTTGAATTAAAAAAAAAAATCACTGTTCCCTCATTTAAAGCTTCAATTTGGGGCTATTGGCTTATCCTTTAGGTGAAATGGTCATTCCCATTGTTCCTGCAGTTCCCCCCTCACAATTAAACCAATCAGATAAATGTTAAATATATCTCACAGCATGTTTCCATCTTACTCGAAGAGGTTGTTTTGGGTGACTCTGGAGGTCTTTTCACTGGAAAGTCATAATTTACCCAGCTGAGAACCTGACGGTCTTACTGTTTCTCTTCCACCAGATGTGGTGGTGATCCTGCTTCCAGTAACAGCATTTGTAAAACAGTAGAGCGGTGGACCTGGCAAGGCGTAATCTGCATCCTGTTGTGAGAACATTGTAGCCCCAAGAGTGCAGGCTTCTGTTTAATTTCTTTGGGCCTTTTCTCACTGATTATGAAATAACAATATTGCCTGATAGGATAATCCCAAAGACGAAGTAAAACACTTTAAACTGTATACAGCATGGCAAATCTACAGTAAATGCTGCGTGTTAGTCTAGTTTGGGGATCTGTATTCTTAGCCTCCTTTGTTCTTCATGTAATTACTCCATTAGGTTGAATGATAGTGAAATTGAAAGGCAGCACTTTAAGGACCAAGACATGTATTCTGATAAGTCCGACAAAGAAAATGACCAAGAGCATGATGAATCTGACAATGAGGTGATGGGGAAAAGTGAGGAAAGTGACACAGACACATCAGAAAGGCAAGATGACTCTTACATTGAACCTGAGCCCGTTGAGCCTTTGAAGGAGACCACCTACATGGAGCAGAGCCATGAAGAGCTCGGCGAGGTGAGCACTTTCTAGTGCCAGGCTCTGGCTTACCAACTTTAGAAAATTTCCACACGGAATTATAGATACTTTTTTGCCTGGCTTATTGTTTTCCCCAAAGAATATCTATATGCCACGTGTTTCTTCAAAGGTATATTGTGAAATTTATTTACATTTTTAAGCATCCAAAACATACCCGAATGCCAGTGTGGTCTGCTGAACTTTAAGTTTACATTTTCAAGTTTGTTTGGAATAGAGTATTACTTGGTGTCATTACCAGGTATAAAGTAATTTGGAGCTGGGCGGTGGTGGCGCATGCTTTTAATCCCAGCACTCAGGAGGCAGAGGGAGGCGGATCTCTGTGAGTTCGAGTCCAGCCTGGTCTACAAGAGCTAGTGCCAGGACAGGCTCCAAAGCTACAGAGAAACCCTGTCTCGGAAAACTAAAAAAAAAAAAAAAAAAAAAAAATTGGAAATAGTATAAATTTAAAACTTGCTTGTTATTACCAGTGCATGTAAAACAATAAACTACTAAGCTGGGTTTGGTGGCACGTGCCTGTAATCTCAGCAGTTGGGAGGAAGAAAGAAGCAGGAAGTCTGCAAGTTTCAGGGTAGTCTGGGCTACTTTTCTCAGTAGAAAATAAATGTAATTGAACAAAAAACAGTAGAATTTGATTCTTTTGTGTATTGTTATTTTGATATTCCTTTCACTTTTATAGCCTAGACTTTGATAGCTAAATGGTTGTTTGCACATTCCCATAATGCTTGCAGTAGTCGTGGAGAGTCATGTTTTTATCATCTACTGTGTCTGTCTAAGATAAGTAAAATATCTCAGTGTGCTGTGTTATAATTATTAAAGGCAGGTGAGGCTTCTCAAACGGAAACTGTCTCTGAAGAAAACAAAAGCCTTATCTGGACTCTGCTCAAACAAGTTCGTCCTGGCATGGACCTGTCCAGGGTTGTTCTTCCTACGTTTATTCTGGAGCCCCGGTCTTTCCTGGATAAACTTTCAGATTACTACTATCATGCAGATTTCCTGTCTGAGTAAGTAGTCTTCTAGAAATAGAAGATCCCTGCATGGTTCTAGAGTGTCTCAAGAATGTAATGGAAAGCCAGGTATGGTGGCATGCACTTATAATCTCAGTAGGGAGGTGGGGAAAGGTGGATTCCTGGGGTTCAGCGAGGCCAGTAAGAGACTGGTAGGTAGGTAACACGTGAGGTCATCCTCTATGTAATAGCAATTTTGTGCTCACCTTTCATATTTCACCTGCTGCCACGTCTGCGGAGTCTTGTGGCACTGTTTTCTGTGCTACTGATGTTGGCCCAGCTATGTGGACTTAGGAATCAACACCAATATCTGTTGTCCATATCTGTTTTCAGTTGTAGTTTTTAATTACATTAGTGAACATTGAAAACATAAGCTGAATCAAGAGATGATTGGTGAATATCACAAGAAAACTTAGCAAATTATGTAGTAGATAAAAGTAGTAATTCTCCTAAGATAAAAAGAGCTCGTAATACCAGCATGGTGGTGCACATTTGTGATCCTAGCTCTCGAGGGCGGGGCAAGAGACCTGTGATGAGCTCGAGGACAGTCAGGACTGATTTGTCCAGCTCCCTCCAGTAAAAGAACTCCCAGCTAGTAATAGAGTGAAGATATCCCATAGCCTATAGGTAAAGAAATGGGAAAAATGAAACAGAAACAGTTCTTAAATGTGAACCTCATGTAAACTAAGGAAAAGCAGGTAAAGGCTGTAGCAAAATAGTCTAGTTCAAATATCACATCGAGGTAGAGCTTTTGCACTCATTCTGCTCCCTCTGTGGGTCACATTTCATTTCATTTTTTTTAAAGATTTATTTATTATGTATATAACATTCCTTCCATGTATGCTTGCAGGCCAGAAGAGGGCGCCAGGTCTCATTATAGATGGCTGTGAGCCACCATGTGGTTGCTGGGGAATTGAACTCAGGACCTCTGGAAGAGCAGTCAGTGCTCTTAACCTCTGAGCCATCTCTCCAGCCCCACATTTCATTTCTTAAGTAAATGATAAGAAACAGAGTCATCCCAACAGTTCACATTCAGTAAATCTAAACTTGTCACAGAGCAAGGGAGGAGTGCTTTCTCTCAGTCAGCTTCCTAATTGGTGGCAGCAGCAAAAAGAGAATCAGTCTTGTTATTTTTTTTTTTTTTAAGATTTATTATGTATACAGTGTTGTGCCTTCATGTATGCTGCAGGCCAGAAGAGGGCACCAGATCTGTTACAGACAGATATGAGCCACCATGTGGTTGCTGGAAATTGAACTCAGGACCTCTGGAAGAGCGATCAGTACTCTTAACCTCTGAGTCATTTCTCCAGCCCTTATTATCTTTTCTATAGAAGTAGCTTTATAAAACTAAACTACTAAGGAGTATAAGAAAAATAAATAAATCTGTGCTATATCCTATACTTCTAAGTGTGTAAACATTTTAAGCTAACATTTTGTGGTTAGCGGTTATAAAAGCCAGGCTTTCTCAGACTCAGAGACTGTCTGTCCGCAGGTAGATTACTGCAAATCTCTTGGTGTCTGCACAAATTGGCATGTCTCGAGACACAGTCCTTTAAATCTCAGAATGTACTTTCTGCACTGTGTGTAACCCCTGACCATAAAGAAGGAAACTCTTTCTCGGGGCTATGAAGTCAGATTATTTTTTTTGTATCCCTGGCCAGTTTGAGAATCTTTCTTTGTGGTGTATGTGAACAAAAGCCATAAACCTGAGGTTAGGAATTTGTGCCGAGAGTTAATCACTGTGCTAGGTCATCAGCCAGACCTAGCAGAGAGCCTGGCACAGCAATCACGCGTTGCTTCGCACTTTTTACCTTAGTTCAGCAGATCAACAGCTTGTTATCTGTCCTTGGGCTGTTTTATCTGGGAATTGTTTATCTTAAAACCCATTAGCAAGGCATCTGAAGCTACTTTGAAGTTTCAAATCAGCTAATAGTGTACAACTATCTGGCACCTGGGGAAATACAGCTGTTTTCTTAATGTAGGCTGAGCTGTGATCCAAGACAGCTCTGAGGGGGATCTTACAACCCTGACTTGAGTAACATCTCTTTGTATTCAGTCTTATTCATCAAAACTCTGTATAAGCTAACATTATTATTAGCGGCTAGAGAGTACAGCTAAGGAGGGGTTACCTTCTTGACAGTCCACAGATTGAAAAGCCCAGTAGAACAGGATGTATTCATGAGATTACATGCCAGTGGGGAATCTCTGCACATCCACTCACACCGTGCCAGATAGCAGAGAGAAGTTGCAGTAGCAAACATGTAAAGGGACAGCAGACGCAAAAGACATTTCAGGGTCCCTAGTTTCATAACCTTGCTTAACTGAGATTCTTCCATCAGGGAATTTCTTCTGGTGGTTGACACCTTGAATATTAATTGCCATCTGCTGTTTTATGATAATGGTTTCTGGAAAGCCACCAAGGCCAAAAAAATAGAAGTTACATTGTTTTTATAAAGTGGGACTGTTTATATTTGCTCATTTATGCTTGAAGAAAACTTTGAAAGAATTGTCTATTTTTATTTTTTAATTTTTTTTTGAAATTATGTATGTTGTGTGTGTAAGCAGGCACATATGAGTGCACGTGAGTGTAGATACCTATGGAGGTCAGAAGATGGCCTCTAGAGCTGTAGTTACAGGTGGTTGTGAACCTTTTGACTTGGGTACAGGGAAGCAAACTGAGGTCCTTTGCCAGGACAGCCCATGTGTTTAACCATTGAGTTCTCTCCTAAGAGTCTTTTTAAAAACAAGCCTTTGAAGAGTATATTGCCTCTTCCTACTTCTGGTCTGCCTTCTCTGTTTCCTGCTCCTTGCTGGCAGGCCAGCTCCCCTCCCATGTCATGATGGACTCCATTATAACTCTTCTCTCAGTAACTTTTCTTGGTATTTTGTCACAGCAACAGAAAATTAACTAATAATTTCAGCTAACAGGGCTTTCCAATTATAGCCCTTCAAAGCTGAGTCATGACTCCTCCAGATTTCTTCTATAGACTAAATGTTACACTGGTAGTTGGTTCAGGTGGAAATGGTCTGGTAACAACACACAGGAAGAGTGAAGGGCTATAATTGGCAAGCCCTGTTGGCTGGAATTTTAACACGTAAGGGTGAGGGACTGCTGGGAAAACACAGCTGACTGAAATGATCTCAACTCTTCTTTCTTCTTTCACACTTGTAACATGAAACCTCAGCTTTGTAGCTGGGGCACAAACCCACACAGTCTGTGATCCGAAAGACCACCATCAGCCCCCTGTTCTCTGTTCTGTGTACATCAACCAGGTGAACAGCCACTGCTGCTCCTTCGCTGGCAAGTGGTACTGAAGCCCTTTAATCAAACTGTTGACTGGGCTTCACAGCACCACACAAGGCATGAATCTCAAAAGTCCATATTTACTTTTATGGAAGAACTAGGGTTGTTTGTTTTTTGACTTATGGTTCTTGTGCAAGGCAGCAGGTGGCCTGAGCAGGAAGTTGAGAGATTACATGTTCAGCCAACTCGGAAAGCAGAGAGTGTTTGCTTTTTAATCCCAGTTCTTCGCAGAGCTCCTTGTTAATCCTGGGTCTCCTAAACTCCTTGTTAAACCTGGGTCTACTGAGCTCCATTTCGGACACTTTGCTTTGGAACTTCCAAAAAAATTCAGCAGTGTCCCAGGTAGTATATGAAAGAATCAGAAAACTGAGATAAGGTAACCAGATTAAAAAAGAAAACATGATTCTTTACAGACTTATTTTTAATAGCTTTTTAAAAAGTTGTGTGTATATTTGTTGGGGGCGTGGGTATATGCACATGAATGCAGATGGCCCATGGAGGCTGGAGTGGGAGTTGCTGTTAGCTGTGAGCCACTGGACAGGGGCCGGGAATGGACCTCTGGTTCCCTATTAGAAGAGGAAGCCATCCCTCCAGCAACAAGGCAAGGTATTCTAGAAGTAAATTTACATGACTTTTATTGTTTACTTAAGCATGAATTAGGTTTCCAGCTATAAATCATAGTGAGTATGAAAGAGAATTTGTGATTGCACACAATGGTTATATTTACCATTTTGTTGTTTAGGGCTGCTCTCGAAGAAAATCCGTATTTCCGTTTGAAGAAAGTTGTAAAATGGTATTTGTCAGGGTTCTATAAAAAGCCAAAGGTAATGTTTATGTTTTGCTTCTTTTTCCTCCTTTTTATTTATGTTTATATATTTGTATGGGTATTTGGGTGCCAAGGTGCACATGTGGAGGTCAATCTATCCTTACATCTTGTGAGTCTTGGGGATCAAACAAGTCATCAGACTTGGAGACCAGAGCCTTCACCTGCTGTAGCATCTCACTGCCTGAGCACACAGAAAACCCAGCTGCACTCTGAAGGGTGTCTAAACGGTTCATGTTTGTGATCATTTATTTCCTTAGTCATTATGATAAATAAGTGTTCCGTAAGTCACATAATAAAAAGCATCTCTGTGGGAACAATAGCCTGTCCGGGTATATTGGGGACCAGCCCAGTGAACCTCTCAGGATCAGGAAGGAGCGCTACAGCTAGCGGGGATATACTAAAGGGATCCGAGGGTGAAAGGAGTGAATCTGCTGACACAGGTCTCCTTGTGACTCTTTTCTTCCAGTGTTCTCTCGATCCCACAGGTTTCCAGTTTATATACCCACACAGGCACAATTAGCAATTCTCTGGCAGTAGGAAGGAGACCAGACAGACATTGTTCAGGGCCAAGTTGATAGATAAGGCTGACTATTATCTTACCTCTGTCTTGAGGGGGCGTGGCTCTGAAGAGTCCTGGAGTACCTGGAAAGGGTAAAAAGAGGAAGGGGCTGTGATTTCTAAGAGGAGGAAAAGGGAGTTTGCCTGTTAACTACATCTGTGTGGTTAGTTAAGCTTGAAGTCTGTGATTGGTAAATAGAAAAAAACGAGGAAGAAAACATGGCAGTGGTGCGCAGTCTCCGAGTGCCCCCTCCCCTTCCGCTGAGGCTGGGACCATAGCCTTGTGGTAGCAATGGCAACCAGTTTAAGCTGCGGGAGGAAAATGGCTTGATCCACATTAGTATTTTCACTAAATCTTAGCTGATTAAAGGGAACCTCTCAGCACTAGAGCGAAGTGAAAAACTGTGGCTGTGTAGTGTAAAATCCAAGGCTGCTGCTTCCAGCCCTGGGCTACCTACCTAGGTGAGAAGGAATTCCTTTCTTTGGGACTGGTTGAGTGATCCAAAGCTTCCTCCTGTAACTGTGAAGGCACAGTTAATTTCCTAGACTAAGATCTTGTAACTGAGGTGAAGGGAAGTACAGAACACCAATAGCTTGTTAGGGTAGAGCAGGGGCCATTGGGTTGTGCTCTCCTAAGGCAGTTGTTAGAGAAATCACTGTGTCCAGCCCTCCTCCTCGGTGCCTGTCCTTTAAGGCTTGAGTGTGGTCTGTTTGCAAGGCTCCTCTCCTTGTTGGGTGTCCTGCCATAGAAGAGAATTGTGGGGGTAGCTTTACATGGATTTGACTGTGAGAACAAAGGTTTCTTTGAGTGAATACTTTCATACCAGGGTCCCACAGTGTGGGGGGAAGTCATCCAGTTACCAGTACAAGGGTGTTATGCCCAATAATTGGTTAATACACTGATGAGACTTTTTGGGGGGACGAATCCTGCTATGGAAAGGGGAGCTCTATAGTTTCACAAGAGTTACAGAAATGACAGCGACTGTTCGAAAGGCAGTTATCCCCACAGCTCTGCAAACTGGGTGTCCTCTACTGGAATGTGTGACCCCCATAGGTAGCCTGGTGATTTTGTCAGCTGCATTCTCACTGTATAATTCTGTGGACCACAAGAACAGCCAAGATAGCCTTTCTGTGTTCTAGTTTATCCCTCTACCCCATGGAGAACAGTCAGAAAGCAGGAGTGAGAACCGTGGCGGGAAGATTATGAGACTAGAATAAAATGCTTTAACCTACAACGATGGAACAGCTAATGGAGGGCGGCTTCCACCAATGGAAACACCACTGCTAACTTAATGATAGGACAGGCTCTGTGTTCACACCCTCCTTCAGTTACAAGAATCCATGCATTTGCATTGTGCTGGTCAAGCAGTGAGAATTATTACACAGTAGAATTTCATGGAAAGAACCTCAAAACAGAAATTTTGAAAATTTAGTTTTTATTGCTAAGAATATTATGAACTATATGAATGAACCTGGAAAACTACTTAAGTTTAGGCATATTTCAAAAAATCTAAAATATGGAGATGTTGTCATACAAATAGTTTATTTTCTGGCATTTCTAATATTGGCTAAATACAACAAAGAGATGGAATCTTTATAGTCAAGAGATATTTGCACCCCATGTTCATTACTGCACTAATTGCAGTAACCAAAATATAGACCAGACTGCAGCAGATGCATGGATAGAAATGGTGAGCTCGTCAGTTTAAGTTGTGGGATTTTTTTAAGCAACCATTGTTCTCTTGAGACAACATTTTACAGGAATGTCCTGCATCTCAAGAGTTGCTTTCTTATTTTTTTATTTTATTTATTACTCTTTGAGGTATTCACACATGTTTAATCTTATAGTATATTTTGGTCATTTTCACCCCATTAATTCTTGAGCTCTTTTTTGTTTTTGCTTTTTAATATGTTATCTTTAGGTTGTTTGCTGGCAAAAATTGAAAAATTTGTATTTAGACCATATCTTGAGTAAAGCTATATTTTTATTTCATGTAAATTTCATTACTCTGAAGAATTATAAGGTGGTCTTCCAGACAATGCAATTTAACTTTAAACCTGTGTTTGCAATTTTTAACTTGTAGGTTTTTTGTTGTTGTTTTTGTTCAACTAGGGACTGAAGAAACCATATAATCCTATCCTTGGTGAGACTTTCCGTTGTTTATGGATTCATCCCAGAACAAACAGCAAAACGTTCTATATTGCTGAGCAGGTATGAGAAATGCTAGCCTGGTAAATCGCTGTTATTCAGCTGCTCGTGAGGGAAGGCTTGATAAGCACGGACATTGTAGTACTGGCTGCTGCTCCAGACCACACTGGTGAGCGCGGCTGTCTTCAGGATGTCAGCCAGTTTATATTGGTCCTTACTCTTGACTGCAGTGGGCACTTGCTGTACATGATTATCCCATGGCTGTTGTGAGGAGAATTTAGTTCCTCAGCATGTGGCCCCTCCATACAGTTTTTACAGCACAAAAACTTGGTTACTCGGAACCAAGTATATAAGCACCTGTGTGTGCGTGCGCATGCAGGAGAGGGCTTGGGAAGGAAGAGGGTGTCCTAAAGGCCTCCCCCATGGAAGCTATGTTATAATCTCGAATTAGAGATGCTATATTATCATTCCCACACAGATGTTGTTGACTCACACCCTGCCTTTGGTGTACATGCCGGGAGGTAGGCTTCCTAGGAGCCGGAGATCCAGGCTGTAATTACTGACATTCATCATCGCTTCCCGCTGTTACTTCTTACCCATTCCCAGACTTGAACTTTTGATGCTAGCATAGTAGTATGTTCGTTTTCTTAAGTGTGTGACCTTTCCTGTGTTCAATAGGTGTCCCATCACCCACCAATATCTGCCTTCTATGTTAGTAACCGAAAAGATGGATTTTGCCTTAGTGGTAGCATCCTGGCTAAGTCCAAGTTTTATGGTGAGTTTCCCCTTGTCCTGAACTGTGCTTTTCTAAAATGTAGTATTTTCTGGTTTTTATCTGTAAATAAATTAATTCTGTCATTTTGTCAAGGAACTCATGTCATTTAGGCATGGCTTTAATCCTGTCTCCTGTTTAACCTTGCACATTTAGAAGTAAGGCACGTTTTATCTAACTTCTAACAAGCGTGTAAAAGCATCACTTGTGGGACACACAGTGAATGCCTACGTGTCTCTTGTGCACAGTGGGTTTATGCTGTTTTTACCTTCATCAGTTTGTTTAGATTTGTCTCCCTATACCTGAGGAAATTGACCTTTCTCTTTTAGTCTTTGAGTATAGAAAGAATTCAGTTTGGTCCTAGGTCATTCAATAATAATATCTAACCTTCGGCCAAATAACATACTGTTAAAAACTCAGAGAATTAAATTCAACTAAGGAATTTTAAACCTGGGAGAAATCAAACGTAAGGGTAAAATAGAAAAGATAAAATATGTAAACAGAAGTCTAAATTTTAATTACACAAGAGGGGAGAGAGTCAGAAACTAGTCTGCGACAGGAAATCTAAAGTATAGCACTTTCCGTCCAGGACTATGGTACGTGACTTTTGTTTTTAAAGATGTTCCCCCTACTTAATTTTCTTTTGATTTGGATTGGATTTCTCCTTTTTTTTTTTTCAAATGTTCCACGTGTTCTATATTGATATTACTTCTTCCCCCTCTTGCTTCAGCCCCTACCCCAACCCCAGCTACAGTGTAATTGGCTTTAGTGGGCATTTGTTTCATAGACATTTTCTACTCAGCCCCAGGTGTGTGGCTTATGTTCAGGCATTGCTTCTGCACTTTGATTTCTATTTTCTTATGTGCTAACAGAACTTGTGTGCACCAGGGCGAGCTCTTTATAATATGAAATGATCCAGAGTTCACAAGGGTACTTTAAAGGTTTAAAAAATTCTCATTTATTTTTCTTTGAGTAAAGACATCTGAAGAGGTGGTGTATAACTTATGAAGTAGCCTATTAGACATATATCACATGGTATCTCTCATGTCGGAATCTAGAAAAGTTGATGTAGAGATAGGAGTAAGTCATGGTTGTGCATAAATATTTGCAGCCTTTTGAAAATACTCTTAAGATTAGGAATATGAATCAAGAAATGTTTTAGTTATGAGGGGATGAGTATGTCTTTTCACACATGCATTAAGATGGAGATATTTTAAATATTTCTCCTGGAGGAATGTCGATGTCCCAAATAATATGCTTTGTTTTGAATGGTTAGATTAGCTTTGTGAAATGTAAAAATCTTTTTTTAGGAAACTCACTGTCCGCGATATTAGAGGGAGAAGCACGGTTAACTTTCTTGAACAGAGGTGAAGATTATGTAATGACAATGCCGTATGCTCATTGTAAAGGTAAATGATATAGATCAGGTGTTTCTTGGCTTTTTGTTTTGTTTTTGTTGTAAATAAATGTATGTGAATATTTGTTTGAAAACCTTGGTCCACAGTTTCTTGAGAGTATCGCTATTTGCGGACTATTTCTGTGGCAAATTCATTCACACATAATAGTCTTACCTATTTTTGTGATAGATCCATTGTAAGAAATTTAGTTGCAATAATGGGATTTCCTTGTGTTTATCTCCTGTGTAAGTTTTGTAATTAAATTAATCTGCCTTTTTCAGAACCCTTGGAAGCCACTTCATGCACTCTTGTGTTAACACCCTGTATAAAGTTTAATCTGCTCTTCTTTTTTAATGATTTATGTTTGTTTCTACTCATTGGTGTTTTGTGTGCATGTATGCTTGTGTGAGAGTGGCCACTGAACTCTCAACCAACACTGTGGCTCCACTGAATGAAGCCTTAGCATGTATTCTCTGAATGGCTCTTCATAGCCTTCACCTCAGAATACTGTCCCACAGCACCTCGGCATTCACCAGTCAGTTTCCATGGCAAAAGCATGTCACCGCCCTGGCTGGCCTGGTCCTGCCTCAGCAGCAGTTCACACACAAGCCTGTCCACGAGATGCCACAAAGCACAGTGGGCATCGGCCTGAGGGCTGCCTGTGTGGTTGATTGTGGATGTGTGGAGGTCGGAGTGTAACTGTAGGAGTAGGATCTTTTCTTCTACTACATAGTCAGCAGTCCAGCTCGGATCCCAGGGTACGGCAGGAAGTGCTTTCTCACGCCGACTCATCTCATTGGCTCACCACTGTACATTAAATAGAAAGTCTATAAAATTGCCAACTAAGCATGACGTGAATGTGCTAGTGTTCTAAAACAAATTTTATGTATGTACTAAGCATATTTTGTTGAGTGTGGCAGATGTTTCTTCTAGTGTATTAGTTACAGAGCCCTGCTTATTTTGTGTCAGTGACTCTGTCTTTGAGCTTCTTTCAATTGTCTTTTTCTTTAGGAATTCTTTATGGTACAATGACATTGGAGCTTGGTGGGACTGTCAATATTACCTGCCAAAAGACTGGATACAGTGCAGTACTTGAATTTAAGCTAAAGGTTAGTAAATGATGCTGTTAGCTAATTAAGGGGAAGCTGTGTTGTAAATACTGAACAAAAAACACAAATTAGTTGTAGAATAAGAACTAAATATAACAACATGATTTATGCCAGATCAAAGAGAAATACATCCAAGGGCATTCTTGTGAGTATCTTGGTTTAGCCTGAGACAGCCTTGGAAGATACAAATTAGCATGAAAGCCACCATTCCTTTTGTTTTTAATTCTGATGATATAACTTGCTGCTCTAGAGGAAATGAGACTTAAATGATTGAAATATCTCTGTGAATTAAAACATTGCTTTATAAGACCCCGGAAAGTAGATCTGAATTGAGACTGTGGTTGCTTACAGTAAGACAGTTTCCTATTAGTTACTATTTCTGTTTAAAAAGTTATTTTAGCTCACACGCTTAAGAATAATCATGTGCTACTCTTTATCAGATTTTCATGCCAAAAATTTGGATAGATAATATTGGAGATGGCTTTTCTCTTTAATAGATGTTGGGTATCAGGAAATCTTGAAAACATGAGTGATTTGTGTTGCCCACTTGTGAGTCTGATACCTGAAAGGCCACAGCTGTTACTCTGAGCACCTCTGTTCATGTGGCCTTGCCCTGGCAGCTTTAAGGCAGCTGGAGGTCTTCCTTAGCAGCACGGAGAACTCAGCTGCCTTCCATCACTAGTCTTAGGAGCCAAATTTACAGCATCTTCTCTCTTCTGTCGAGAGTTACACACCCACCCAGGCTCAGGGGAAGAGGGACACAGTGACGCACTTCTCAGTAGGAGGTTGGCAAGGTCTCACTGAAGAAGAGCATGGGGGCTGGAGAGGAAATGAGTAGGTACTGTTGAAGCCATCTTTGGAAAATTCGGTCTGCTTCAACAAAAGGAACGTCTGAAACATTTTCACAATGTCAGTTATAATTTAGTACATTGTGTTCAGATAAAAAATAGGAACTATTAAAAATAGGTGTTAATTGCCTCCATGTTGATATTCTAGTAACCAGAATCTCTTTCCTAATGAAAAGAAACTCTTATGTATTATTTGATGCTGTGCCCTTTGCTTTGCCAATTTTATAAATGTGGAGATACTAGTTTGAAAATCATGATTAAAGTGGTCTTAAATAGTTACTCATATCATTAAGTATTGAAACATCAAAACTGTGTCTCTGAGGAAAGGCATTAGTAAGACAGTATAGTGACCTGTTGATGAAAGTTTATGAGTGCCTGGTCCCTCAGCCGTTCAGTCCCAAAGAAACACATAGAGGCTTATATTAATTATAAACTGTTTGGTCTATTGCTCAGGCTTATTACTAACTAGCTCTTTTAAATTAACTCATAATTCTTAACTATGTTTAGCCATATAGCTTGGTACCTTTTTTCAGTAAGACATTCTCATCTTGCTTCTTCTGCCTTCTTGCTTGCAACTGCCTGCATCTTGCCTTTCCTCTTCCCAGAATTCTCCTAGTCTGGTTGCCCCACCTATACTTCCTACCTGGCTACTGGCCAATCAGCATTTTATTAAACCAATGCGAGTGACAAATCTTTACAGTGTACAAGAGCATTGTCCCACAACAGTGACTCAAAGTGTCCTGCTTCTGATTTTATTTTTTGGAAGAATTGTTTTCAAATTTTTTAATTCCCTCAGTTTTCTGAGATCTTTTTCTTGGTGTGTTGCACATTGATGGGCTCAGTCCTGGTGCACTCCTGCATGGACTACAGGTCTTTATACCCATAGATTTCACAGTCTATTTTTAACTATATTTCATAGTCATAATTCATATTTGTTTTTATTAAAAGTCTAACTTAAATCTGAGTCAGGATTTCACTGTTTTTACTTTCAAGAATATACTAACTATATAATTTTTTTTGATGTGTAGTTATCTACAGTATATGTAATATAAACAAAAATGTTCAATACTTTCTTTTTTTAAAGCCATTTCTAGGAAGTAGTGATTATGTTAATCAAATATCAGGGAAACTTAAATTGGGAAAAGAAGTCCTAGCTACTTTGGAAGGCCATTGGGTAAGTATTTTTATATGTTATAACTAGAAAATTAATTATATCTGATGGAGAAAATAGACAATCATACTGAAAAGTATCACTAAATAAACTTCATCTTAAAGGCAGGTGTTTTGGTATTACTCTGTTCCCAGTGACATTTTATTTTATTTAATGTTTTATATTTAAGACTTTAAATGAATAGAAGTAGCTATCATATGGCACTTACTATATACTTTATTAAGTATGTAGCTTGTATTTATCATTTAATAAGTAGTTGGATTTCATAAACTTGGCACATAGATGCCCATTTTTATTGTATTTATTTATTTAATCTCTGTGTATGTTTGTATGTGCATGCGCGTGCATGTGTGCCATGACACATATGTGGAAGACAGGGCAGCTTACTGGAGCCAGGGCTCCTGTTCTACCATGAGGGTCCCAGGAATCAAGATCAGGCCATCACAGTTGGTAGCAAGCACCTTCAGTAGCTGAGCCTTCCTGCTGACACATACAGAATATGTGCCCATTTGGAAGGGAAGGAAACTAACACAGAGAGCATCGGAATCTGAAGTGTTTGCAGTGAGCTGAGAAAACTGAGCCCTGGGACCCTGGCTGTGCAGCACTTGACTGGTCCCAGTTAGAGTCGTGTTTCTTTGGAGGAAGACGGGAAGGTGCAATAGTATATAAAAGCACTGGCTTTGGTTTACCTCTCTGCCAATCGATATTCTCATTTATGTAATTCCTTACAAGGAGCTTATGTGACTGAAATGGATTATGGTATATTTCTTAGATGCATTTTCACTATAAACACTAAGTATATGCTATTCTGCATATAATAAGCAAAAAACAGGGTGAAAATAAAGCTATATATGGAGACTAGGCCGATGGCTACATAGGTTCTGCAAAATGTTTATTTTAAATTTGTGTGTGTGTGTTCTCTCCTTTCATTGTGTTTGTCTCAGGAAGAGGTAGTCAGGCTTGGTGGCAATTGCCTTTACCCATAGAGTAATCTCCCTGGTTCCCTGAAAAATGTTATAATTGACTTCCTATCTGAGTATTATTTGGAACACTGATTAGCCATCATTGTCATTTTTTTTTTTATTTTTGAGACAGGGTCTCATGTTGCAGCCCAACTGGCCTCAGACTCACAGAGATCCGCTTGCCTCTGCCTCTTGAGTGCTGGTATTAAAAGGCGTGCATCACCACACCTGGAAAAATAGGTGTTCTACATATATAAAATGTCTAAGATTGTGTTCAATTTTTAATGCTAAGGGTCTCAGAAATTTTTCAGTAATTTGATTTCCTACATTGTCCACAGTATCACACTATGATCTTTTGCAGCAATTCAGACGTGAAGCTTTAGGCTTTGGCTGTAATGTTTGAAATTTGTTACATGAAACAAAAATTTCATGAACACTCTATATAATCAGCCTGTTTTTCTAATTGATTGGAATTACTTATTTAAACTATTTTTATACAAATAGAAAGAATTTGGGACTTTGCGAAATGTACTAGTTACATTTGTTTTAAAATACTTTATAGTCTTCTTCTAGATAAAGATAACTATATTGATGTTTAATTCCTTTAAATGTAGGATAGTGAAGTTTTCATTAATGACAAAAAGACTGATAACTCAGAGATTTTCTGGAATCCAACACCTGACATTAAACAGTGGAGATTAATAAGGCACACTGTGAAATTTGAAGAACAGGATGATTTTGAATCAGAGAAGTAAGTAAACAATTTTTTAGCTAACTTCATGAACATTAAGGACTATTTCAAATTGCATAATAGTGTAGCCACACTATTCTCTATATGCTGTTGAGTTTGTCACCTGTGGGACGGAGAGCATTCTGTGTTGGTGTATGTGACATAAATAGTTCACAGATCATCTTGTTTCTCTGCAGCTCAGAACGGAAATATCCTGTTTCTCTCTCCTACTCCAGTGCTCTAAATATCTGTTTGCATAAAATTATAGAACCAGCTCGTAGTTCAGTTTCTACCTGTGGATCGGTTTTGTGGGATGTAAAACAGCTGCCTTTGTTCTGTCCTCTGAAACAAGAATAATGCCACTCAGAGTCCTGGTCTCCACAGGACGTAACCAGTCGGGCAGGGCCATCATTAATGCCGTCACTTCTCTTATTCAGTCAAGAAAGCCTTTCTAGAACTCTTAGCCCTTTTGGATAAAGTTTCTGTTTATATCTCTTTATGTTAAGAATTCTGCATAAACATTGCTTTGCTACAAACTTGATACCTGTGAGTCCTTACTCTGTGGTCCTGCTTCCATGAACCAAGTCTATGTGTACTTTTATTTTCTACATAGGTACAGAATGTCAGCATTGGAAAATATGTATGCATTAATCTTCAAAGTCCTACTTCAGGTGTAACCACATGATATTCCCTGTCCAAAGGGACATGAAGCCATTTCTAATATATATAATTCAACTTTTTTAAAAATTTTTTTTAATGTAGAGTTTTATGCAGAGCAAAGTGGCCTTTATTGCTGTATAGCTGAGAGTGACCTTGAACTGTTATTACTGATCCTTTTGCCTCTGCTTCCCAGTACTGGGCCTATAGGCATCCTCTGCTGAGTCCATCTCAACGTATTTTAAGGATGAGATAATAAAACTTAGAAAAGGAAACTTTTATCAGCTAAGTGGAAGACATAGAAAAGTAACTTGTGTATAACAAATTTCAAGGCCTGTTTCAGTTCTGACATGTTGCCCTCTCAGATGGATGACATACAGATGTTCTTATCTGTATCTCTTATTTGGCTGATGAAAAAAATCTAAATTTTAATCGGGGAATCATTTTTCTCATGCTGTTTTTTCTTACATCAGTGGATCCCAACATTATTTGTGTATTTCAGTCTAGGAAGCATTTAGAGTCTGTTCTTTGGCCTATTCCTAGAGATTGAATTTCCAGGAACTCTGGTGGATCATCCTGAGGTCTATGACTCCTAAACAGAATGGGTCAGAAACATCTAAAGAACTATTTAAACGTGTAGATTACTTTGAGAAATTCTTCACTGTAGTCCTCTCAACCTCTGTCATCAGTTTCCATGGTGTTTTAGTGTTGGCGGAGGCTGTTTGTTCATTCCCCGCTGCTCAGACCCAAAATAATCACACAGAAACTATAGTATTTGCAGTACTATTTGACCAATAGCTAAATCTTTGTATTTCTAGCTAGCTCTTATATCCTAACCCATCTCCATTAATCTGTGCATCACCACAAGGTCGTGGCCTACTGGCAATGTTTTGGTCAAATGGAGGCATCTGTCTCCTGTGGTGGCTACATGGCTTCTCTCTGACTCTGCCTACTCTCTCTCTACATCTCTGTTCAGATTTCATTCCCACAGAGGTGCTCATTCTCTGTGGAAACAAAAGTAGAAGTTCTTTTACAAAGCAACAAATTCTTAGACCCAAATTTTGAAGTCAAGATACCTTTAAAATATATATATGTTGGTTTAGCTGAGCAGCCCATACAATGAAATAGCTCTCTGTACTTAGCTCATTTACAGTCAAAAACTTCAAAGAAAACACAATAATATACATAATACACAATCTCTGTATATTCCATCTTCATGTGGCTTTTTTTTACTCTATTTCTATTTTTATAAGTTTAATGTTTATTTTATTATCTTTACTCCTTTAATCTATGGCTATCTGTACTCTCTTATATTATAACTGTCTATATTCTTTTCTCTCTCTCTCTCTCTCTCTCTCTCTCTCTCGCCTATGTACATTTATCCAACATTGTGACCCATTTATAGGTCGTTTTTATATGAATCTGTCTTTATTGCATATTGATAATAGTTTTTTGACCAGAAGCTTTGTTTAAATGGTAAACATCTTGGTCACAGCAGCCCTGGGTGCTGGCTCTGCCTCTCTCAGGTTTTAATATGGCAGACGTAGTTCACCTCCAGCTCTGGGACTGCCAGGTGGGAGCAGTCCTCACCTCCTCAACTGGGTAGCACCATGCAGCACATAAACCCTTTTTATCTGAGTAAAAGCTAAATCTGCCATGTGGGCTGCAAATATCTCTGTGTATGGCAGTGGGAATTCACCATGTTCTCCTGCCTGAGCACTCCTAGCAGACCTGATCCCGCCACCTGCCCAGGTGGGGAGCAGTGAGTCATGGCATGGTCTCAGCTACTTTCCTTCCAACTCCTGAGAGGGCACAAAAGCATCCGGACTGAAGTGGGTAGCGGGCATCAGCCCCAAATATTTCAGACCACGTTAGTGTGCCATTCTCTTGGTGGAGACTGCTCGTTTGTTTCCCAGCCACCCAGAAGTGAAATAACCACACAGAAACTGTATTATTTAAAACACTGCTCCACTTATTAGCTTATGCATATTTTTAGCTGGCTCTTGCATCTCAAATGAACCCATTCCTATTATTTACTATCTTACCAAGAGGCTCATGGTTTACCAGTAAAGTTCTTGGGTGTCTGTCTCCTTCAGCGGCTACATGGAGTCTCACTGACTGCGCCTACTTTCTCACAGCATTCAGTTAGTTTTCCCACCTAGCTCTATTCTGCCCTATCACAAGCCAACACATATACAGAAGGACTTCCCACACCATTTTAGAACACATGTCATTGATTTCTCTTGCCAAAAAGAAATTAACCTTCATTTAGTGGTTGTTGCCTATGCAAGGCATTTGGTTTTGTTTCTTGATTCATTTCAAAGCATATGAATATAAGTGTTGTCAAAGTCAGAAATCCACATGAGCAATGTTTGCTCTCAACAAAAATCTGTATAATTTGATTTTTCTAGTTGATTTTTAAAAATATTATTTTTACACTTATTTATTATTTAGACTGTGGCAGCGAGTAACAAGAGCTATAAATGCCAAAGACCAAACAGAAGCTACTCAAGAAAAGTATGTTTTAGAAGAAGCTCAAAGACAAGCTGCCAGAGATCGGAAAACAAAAAATGAAGAGTGGGCTTGTAAGTTATTTGAACTTGATCCACTGACAGGAGAATGGCATTATAAGTTTTCAGAGTAAGTAATTTAAACATTTATTTTAAAAAATATAAGCATAATTTTTGGCTTTATATTTCTAGTATATTTATTATCAACATGAGTTAGGGTGAACAGACGTTTTAAGAATTTATGTGTACGTGTGCCAACTTCTGTGCATCTGAGTGCCATGTGCATGCAGGAGCTCATGAAAGTCAGAGCTCCTGGTCCTGGCGTAGTGGATGGTTGTGAGCCACCGTGTGGGTGCTGGGAACCGAACTCTGGTTCTCTGCAAGAGCAGTAGGTGCTCTTAACCACTAAGCCACCCCTTCAGCCCATAGTGTGAAATTTTATTTTTATTTATTCATTTATTTATTTGGGATAGGGTCTTACTATGTTGCTCTGGCTGTCCTGGAACTTGCTATATAGACCAGGCTGGATTCAAACTTAGAGTTCCTCCTGCCTCTGCCCAGTACTGAAATTAAAGGCATGTACCACTATATCTGGCTTCACGGTGTGATATTTTAAACTTGTTGTTCTGTTATTTACTTTACAGTCTAGATAATAATTCATTTTCCAAATAAGCTAAGAAGATTAGATATAGACAAATCTTACAATTAAACCAGTCTTTGTAATTACTTAATGAAAATCTAATGAAAATAAATTGAGTTTCTGTGGCTATTTAAATTTCTTTTTTCTATTTAGTACCCGACCATGGGACCCACTTAATGATATGATACAATTTGAAAAAGATGGTGTTATCCAGACCAAAGTGAAACATCGCACTCCAATGGTATGTAACAAAAAAGTAGCTAGATCTAGTAGGCTTATAAATTTGCTAAATTGCTAGTATCCATGATAATTACATTTAAAATTTAAAATTTTAAGTAAGTAAAGAGACATAACAGATAACTCCAAGTTCTTGACACACCCCAAATACGCACGCACACACACACACACACACACACACACACACACACACACGTGCGCACACACAAATAGAATCTACCAAAAGTCTCCAAATATTGAACCATTTGCAGCAACTAAGGGAATGAAGGACCAAGAAAGGACTTCAAAGCAGTAGGAAGACATTATAGCATAGGAGTCCTTCCTCACCTCTTCCTGGGCACACTTACAGGCTTATGAGATCTATGTTCCAGTGTAAGTCCCTGATGCCAGAAGGAAGAAAGCAGACCACACATGTGTATACAGGTATGCGGGCATGCACACACACACACCCCACCTCTCGGGGTACCTATTACCTAGAGGGCACATGAGAGTATCAATAACACGAAATTATACAAAGGAATTAAACATAAATGTGAGAGCTGAAAAGTAGAGTGATAGGAAAATTTGCTAGAGAACCTTAACAACAGATTTAAGTAGATACAAGACAAAATCGGTTACATGAGAGATAAAGCTATTCAGATTATCCTGTGTGAAAAGGAGAGGGGACAAATGGATGGAAAGGTAAATAGAACCTTAAAGATCCACAGGCGCACCCTCTGGTGGGTCATGTGACTTACGGAGTCCACAAGGGGATCAGAGACAGAAATGGGTGAAACATGCTTAATTAAAGGCTCCCATACGCCCAGCCTTGATGACAGTAGGAATCTGTAAATCGAAGTCCAGCTGTCTGAGTAGAGTGAGCTCAGACTGTTGAAAGCCAGAAAATGGAGCCTTAAAGGCAGCAGGAAGGAACATGTAATCTTTTTATTAGATAATATTAAAGATTTCTAGAAAGTCCCAGGACAACTTTAATGAGCAACTCTGGCAACATTGCAGGGTATAAAATGGACACAGAGATAATATTTGTGTTTCTATATAGTGAGGAATCGCAAAGGGAAATTAAGAAAGTAGTTGAGTTTAAAATAGCATCCAGAAGAGAAAAATCCTGGCAATAAGTGGAACTAATATGTGGAAGACTTGTGCTAAGGAATTTTGATAAGACACAAGAAGTAGAAAGACTGCCTATTCCTAGACTAGAAGAGTTCAAATCACTCCAATGCCGTGCTACCCCAGAACAGTCTGTAGAAATGGAAAGGCTGATTGTCAGACTCATATGGAATTGGGAGGGTCCCTGCATAGATAAAACAATCTCTCTTGTTTGTTTGTTTTAGGGCAAAGTTGGAAGACATTTCCAAAGTTTATCACAAAGCCCCAGTAACCAAAGCAGTCATTTGGATAGAAGGATAGGCGTGGTAGATAGGCCAGTGGAAGAAAATGAGTCTAGTTGTAAACCCATAAAAATCACGCTATAAGGGCCTGGACAGATGGCACAGTAGTTAAGAACACTTGTTATTCTCCCAGAAGATCTGGGTTCCATTCCCAGCACCCACATGGCAGCTCCAACCACCTACAATTCTAGTTCTAGGGCATCTGCACCCTCTTCTGACCTCCTCAGATACTGCATGTATGTGGAAACACTCAGGCAAACACTCATATACATAAAATAAGTTTTCAAAGAAAGTTTTAAAATTTATTTTTGTCAGTGATTTCTCCCACTCCTTAGAAAAATAGTAGTCTCTTGAACAAATGGTACTGAGGCAAATCCACCTGACTTCTACTATACAGAAAGTAACTTAGAATAGATCTATACATAAAATGAGATGCAAGACTATACATACAATTCTTAGAAAACAGTCTAAGTCATCATGAATTTGTGTGTGAAAATAGATTCTTAATAAGACATTAAAAGCATTAATAGCAACAACAACCAGAGCTAAACTATGGGTGATAGAGAGCTGGCTGGACAGTTGAAATACTTGGTGCTACTAGAGGGGACCTGGTTTGTTCCCAGCACCTACACAACTCTCACTTGTCCATAACTCCCATTTCAGGGGATCTCATGCCCCCATGTGGCCTCTCCCAGCATCAGGCACACGTGTGGTCCATACAGAGTTTCAGGCAAAGCACCATACACAAACAAATCAACAAACCTTACTTCAGCATCATCAGACAGCTGATGCTATGAAGAAGGCAGAAGGACAAGTTACAGAATGAGAGAAATCATTTGCTAATTGTTTATCTAACAGTGTTTAAATATCCAAAATATTTAAGAGTCCTTGACTTAACAAAACATCCTGGTTTTTAAAAACAGGCAAATGGCTTGATTAAACATTTCTCCAAAGAAGATACAGAAATGACCAAAACACTTAAAATTGTTAATATTAGTATATGAAATGCAACCCAGAACCACAATTAGTTTGTCTCATCCCACTTAATATGTAATTAAAAAATTAAAATAGAGAATAAAGTGTTGGTGAAGGTATGGGGAAACCAGAGACCCAGTACATTGCTGATGGGAATGGAAAACTTTGCAGCCAGTGGGAAGACACAGTTTAGCAGGTCCTAAAAGAACATATACTATAAAATTACCACGTGACCCAGCTCTTCTCCAGTAGAGTTGAAAATCAGAACTGGAAATGTAACAGTATTGATTGCAGGACAGTCACAGTGGCCAGAAGAGAGGAGCAGTGCAGGATCCACCAGCATACGATGCATAACAAAACAGTCCATTCATAGTTTATTGTTTATGATCAGTAGACATCATTAATAAATATATCATGTATTTATTAATGAGTTTACCTATTAATAAATATTATTTATGCATGAAATAATTAAATTCTGCTCCACGCTACAACATGGACAAACTCTAAAGGGCAAATATTCTACGGTTTCCAAGTAGGCAAGAAGTAGATTACAGTGTCCCAGTGACCTGAGGAAGGAGAGAGTGAAGAGCTAGAGAATCTGAAGATGGGTACACAGCATTGTGAAATAATTACTGCTAGTGGGCTGTATATAGTAGCTTTAAAATGGCAAAACTCTATCATATATACTGCTATCACAATTTTAAAATACAAAATTTTGTTTGGATTTATTTTTTTCAGACAGGGACTCACTATGTAGTCCTGGCTAGACTGGATCTCACTATGTAGACTCTTGTGCTCTCAAACACAGAAACTCACCTCTCTGCCTCTGCTGAGATTGAGGTGTCCACTGACATGGTGGAAACACATGAGACACAGTGACAGCAAGTGCTCGTGTGTCCCTCGCTGCTGACCCCACTTGTCGCTCTGAGCTACTTTATGTGTAATACACATTTGAATCTTGTGCCTACACATAGATGTTTTTAGTAAGTTTAGGTGTACTGCAAAATAGTAGTATATTTTGTTTACCATAAACTGCCTAAGTATACCTAACATCGTCCAGTAGGAATGTTCTAACATTGAGAACAAGATGTGGATTTTCTCAACACTGCTGTTGAAAACCCTGGCGATGCTATGAGAAAGAGATGCTGCAGTTGGGGGATGTATTTGTGTTAGTTTGTATATGCTTAAAGGTACCAACCTAATAGCCTCGGCACTGCTCTGTGAAGGAGAGTGGGTGTATGCATTACAGGTCAGGAATGGGAGGGAGATGACTTCATACATTTCTTCTTTGTAGTCTCTGTACCCAGTGAGAATCAACTAAGATAGTGGATTGCCAAGTACAGTGCATCTTTCTTGCTAAATTTCATTAGATTGTTTGTGCTTTGACTTCCAAGCATCACGCCCGTCAGTGCTTTTGACCTTGTGCAGGTGGTTTAGCTACAGGATAGTGCAAACTCAAATAATATGATTTTTTTCAGGTTAGTGTTCCAAAAATGAAGCATAAACCAACAAGACAACAGAAGAAGGTGGCAAAGGGCTATTCCTCCCCAGAGCCCGACATCCAGGACTCATCTGGAAGTGAAGGTAAAGATATTTAGTGCGGACTGTTGGACGGGAGCAATCTTAAATTTTTACCGTGCTGTTAGGAATATGTAAGTGGTTTTCAAATGAACTCGAGTATAAGAGTCTGTAAGGAGACACAGGAATCAGGTCCTTAGTTTAAAAACTTTGAGAGAAAGATCTGAGCATTCTTAGGAAGGGAATGAAGCTAACAACAGCACTAGATAGAAGTCGAAGGTCCCTGAAAGCTGAGTTCTTCAGATCTGTGCCAGCGGCTGGGAGGAGAAGAGAGTATTAGTTTCTCAAAATGAATACAGGTTTTAAATGAATTATTTTTGTCTGTTTTAATGAATTAAAAATAAAACTGATTCCATAAGCTAAGTAATTTGCAAGTACTCTGTGTATGTTCCAGCTTTGATTTGATATGTTCAGACTTTATAAACAGAGAGTTTATTTTAATAATCTGTAGGCCATTCAAGCCAATGTGTAGAAAATTTCTATTATACAAGTTATTAAATTCATCTATAGACTGTGACCACAACTTCAATCTAAATGTCTTTTAGCTCAATCTGTAAAGCCGAGTGCACGAAGAAAGAAGGGAATAGACCTGGGAGACATTCAGAGTTCCATTGAGTCTATAAAACAAACACAGGAAGAAATTAAAAGGTAATATGTTCTGACAGTGACCAGTTGTTTGAGTCCAGAGGAGTAAAGGCCCTGTTAAGAGAAATCATGCGAACTTTACATTTTTATAACATTGTAAAGTTTAAAAATAGAGTCCTGGCCTCTGTTGCCTGAAATCTGAAGCTTACAGAATTCCTCCCACACTGAACTAGTAGGGGAGATGGAGTTGTGAGATTTTTTTCCTATGAGGGTAGAATGTTTTATTGCTAACAGCATGCTAGGAACATGGCCGTGTTGGATGTGGAGGCCGGGTTGTTGTGAGAAAGCTGACGGACATGCTTGTTCTTGAGTCCCCTTAGTGCACGGCTGATGTGTAAGTGTGATGTGTTGCTTCTTACAATACCTCAAGTGCTTGTACAGCAGTGGGCAAATGGTCTCTACCCTGAGACCAGGGCTGTCCACATGCACGCGCACACACGCTCACACACACACGCACACACATCACTTCATGATCTAGTACCCAACAGTTATTAACACTTAACAGAAGATCCTGGAGGAAAGACGTTCCTGTTCCATTACTGAAACTAGCTACATGAACTTTTAAAATGTTCAGTATTAAGCCTTCTTGCTTTCTCTGCATGGATTAGTGTTGGATGTATGTTCAGGGCAATTAAATACAAGCAATCTTTCTCTGTTCTTGGAGCTGCTATTTTATCTCCAGCCTCATCGCTGTTCCCTGGACCTGCCCTGCCCCGTGCTGTCCTATGAAGCTTCTCACATCGACCATGCTCTGTGTGCATGCTCATATCTGGACCATTGCCCTTACTGCAGCCAGCTTCTCAGATTGCACACCTCTGGTCACAGCACTGAGGGGCAGAGACAGGCAGATCTCCAGCCTGGTCTAGGCAGAGCATTCCAAGGACGCTGCAGAGTTGCTGTTGTGTGCTGTTAGCCCCACGGGACTGTAGCTCCTTCAACAGACGGAATGACATGTGCATCTTGGCTGTTATCCTGCCTTAATTAAGCCTTAAGTTGGTGTTCCAAAAAAAAAAAAAAAGAATGGTGATTCACTCACAAGTTGCTTTTAGCCAAATGCATTTAAGATGTCATGAAGATGTTATATTTCATGACTAAATTTACATTTTTGTAGCATAAGAAAGGCTGTTGAATATTCTTCAACTTGAGAGGAAATCTGTTGCTTTTTTTTTTTTTTTTTTTTTATTTTTTTTTTTTTTTTTTTTTTTTTTTTTTTTTTTTTTTTTTTTTTTTTTTTTTTTTTGCCCTTGGAGAATTTATAGTTTTTACTCCACTCTTGTCTCCCAATTAAAGATAAAAGAAAGCTAGGCAACTAAAGAACAAATACTTTTCTTAAAACCACTGTTGTAACAGAGATGATAATATATTTTTGTAACATTAAACCGTGATAATTCCGTTTAATATGTCAAAGTAAATCCAGTGTACTTAAAGCACATTAGCCCGAATCCTGGCATCTCAGGTCTTGGTTAGGGTAGTAATTGATTGAACTAGTTACTTGAGGTACTGCAGTTAGACACTTTGTGACAACATAGTAACTATTAGAATGACATTTTGTGCTAACATTTCTGAGAAATAATTATGAAATTTATTGTTGCTTATTTTTTAGAAATATTATGGCTCTTCGAAATCACTTACTTTCAAGTGCACCTGCTACGGATTATTTTCTGCAACAGAAAGACTACTTCGTCATTTTCCTTCTGATTTTGCTTCAAGTAATAATAAACTTTATGTTTAAATAGAAGTTCTCAACAGTTGACTCCGTGAACTGGAAAGATGAGCCCGGGACCAGTTCCGATTGGTTTGCTCTTCAGTAAAGCACCACCACATTTGTAAGCCAGACGGACAACTAGGATGTAGAAGTGTCTGCCTCCTGTTCACGTCTTTTATCCTTCACCCAAAACAAGAGCTGTTCTATTTGATCATTAAAATTGGCTTTGTGTTAAGTGCCAGAACACTTTTGTGAGACTGTGCCTACATGTGCGTATAAGCCCACATGTGTACACAAGAACTCTTCCCTGACAGTAGTGTCTGTGCTCTGCAGTATGTTATGACATACTCTGATACCATTGTTCATGACAAAATGCCATCATCTTATAAATATGTATAGTCAACTGTTTTCTTCAGGAGACTGGCATACAACTTTAATTAAGGAATTACAGTGGGAAATGATAGATATATAATAGACATACTATGACTAATTCAGTACATTATACTGTTAAAACCATCTCCAAGGTATCTAGCTCAGTTGTCTTAGAAACACCAAGAAAAGTGTGAGTGGTAAGAATTAATATATCGTGAGAAACAAGTAGAATGTTTTAAAGAGTTTACACAAGATTTTCTAACCCCTAGAACTTAATGTTGCAGATATAGGTGTATCGTACTTATATATATACACACACATACATATATATATCAATATTAAAGATTGATATGTAGCTACATGGATCTGTATGTTACAATCCCACCTTGAGCACTGGCTGACAAGTGGTCAAGTTTATTTGCCATCCTTTCCTGGTTTTAAGTCAGCTGGCCTAGGATGTCTTCCAGACATTAGTGTTTGTAGGGTATGTGAAATCCTGATAACTTAGCATTTTCTTTATGAAAAACATTTTGGCATTCATTTCGACACTAGAGTGCTCAATGAGAAAATAGAAGAAAAAAAATTCTGATATTTTACTTCTGAAGCCAAAAAAAAAAAAAAAGGCAGTAAGAAAAGACACTGCAGTGGCCTTTATTTTAAAAACATTAAAATCAATTAGCTTACATGTGCAATAAGTTGAGCATTTGAGAATATCAAGTTATGAAGTTTATCATCTCCTATCATCGTCCCGTGGCAAGCTAGTTCTGTACGAGTCCTTTTGTTCCTGCTCAGACAAGTTTGTTCCTAAAGGTTTTTGCCTGTTTCTTCAGTTCAATATTTTGACTTTTTATTATTGTCAAAAACAGTTCTTTAAAAGGTAATTAAGTTTTGGAACATGTCATGAAATTTAGATTTCTCCAAACTACAGATTTCAGAAAGGTTTATACAGTGAGAAACTGAGAGCGAGCTGTTGGCATGGCTCCACCTGCCGTCAGCTAAGGAGAGGCTGAGGTGCAGTCAGCTCTGTGTAATGGATACACAGCCAGAGATGGCCGCCACAGTGCTGAGACCACAGGGAGCTACCTTCAGTACCAGGGTTCCCATGAAAAGCCATCCCCACACGGTGTTAGCAAAACAACGCTGTATTTCATATGAAAATAGTTTAAACTTTTAACAACTTAAACAAAGTATACCTGTATCCAGTATTTCATCATTGTGGAGTTTTGGGTCATATTTCATATTTGTCAATATATTTTTTTGTATTCATATTCTACTACCAATATTATGCTCAACTGCCTACTCATTGATGTGTGATATTTTGTAAATATTGTACAACTTGATCTTTATATGATTTTAAATTAGTATTAATTTATATTATATATAACTTAATTGGTTGATCGCTAAAAGTTGTTTCATCGTTAAGCCCTGAAATGTTCATTGTTGGTGACCTTAGGGGCTCTGTCTTACTCCTTTGTATTGTTTCCTGTGGTTTGAACAGGGCTTTGTTTGTATTGATATCTGAGGCTGGAAAGGTAATTGTTTTGTGTTTTTAATTTCACTTCAGAGCTGATGTTAATGTGTCCTTACCCAGGAGTCAGAAACTAATGAACAGGGTGACTGCTTCTTATACACTAAAAGCTTACGTTCGGTCAGATGTTTCTCTGACGCTTTTAGTGGTGTGAGTTTCTTTCTGTGAATTGAACCCAAAACTCAGGAATTGCTGGATTTGTATGCAAGTTCTTTAACTTAGTGTATCATTGACCTTGAGTTTAGCCAGACAGTGTGACTTGACTTTGAACATTCTGACCTGAGGGTGATCTCTCTCCATAAGTGGATTCAGAATGTGTGTGACTCACCGTTCCAAACCGTCTGAAAACTCCACGTGGTTTCTCGGGTTTGTGACTCTATGACCAGTTTTCTTCATTTATCTAAAACATCATTTTCTCACATGAAAATTTAGATGAGAAGTAATAATTCTTGGCATTTTCATTTTTCAGTTGTTAAATGTCTAGCTGTCCCCCATTCAGTGAGATGCTGCTGGCTAGAAAAGCTAGTAATAGGCATATGAGCTGTAGTGTGCTACAGCCATAGACAGTTAACGTGCAATTCTTGTCTGACTTAGAAAGGTACAGTGGTAATCTTTGTCACAGCTCAGTTGACAACTGCATTCCATTGAAAAGTTGGCCTTGTTAGATACAATCCTCATTTACTATTTCATGCTTTTGTGCCTTTAAGGAAATATTTTTCTTATTTTGTGTTACAGAACTATAATGTGTTCAAAGTGTTTGTAGGCTTACTTGTCATAAAAGGGTCATTTCTCTGTCACTTTATTTCCTTTTATATAGCTGAAGAATATGTAAACAATAACGCTGTACTTTTATAAGGATTTGTCTAGTTACCTATTTCAAATATATTCTTACTCACACATCATTAGAGGAAACCTGTCAGATTATTCTGAGTATTTAAGCAGTGCCTTTTTGGTGGAGTTCACACTGTTTTGGGTGTCTCGTGCCATATTCACAGACTTGTGGAAGGCAGTTTTAACTTTTTGAAGAATATCTTCGTCAAAAATTTAAAAACAAATGTATAAAATCTCATCTTTTTCCAGTGTTTAGCATTTCTAGTCAGCAGTAAATAGTTTTGTTTGGCTTTTCTGTCTTATGTACAGGGATGATGGCATAAAATGAGCCATACATAAGTGTGCAGATTATTTTGAATTATGTTAAATATAAATAAAGAAAATATTCATGTTTATATCAAATTTTCCAATTTGACCTATCGGGGGAAAGCTCCCATAATTCACTAAGTTTACATTTCAATCTCTTTCTTATTTGACTAAGTGTATAAAGAGATTCCTTAAGACATATGACCTGCCACCACTGCATAGTTTGGTTTCATTTTGTTACATATTTTGTGGGTTTAGTATATCCACTTTTTGTTACAATTATGATACTATTTTGTTACAGTTTTTAAATGAAGATGGACTTTTAAAATTGTACAGGACCAGTGTCTTATTAATAAGATTAGCATATTTAGTGAGAGCCACAGGAAAACCTTGATGAAAATGAATGTGTCTATACTCTATGAGGTATTTAGAAAAATTAGCCTCTTCATTTGTCATGAAAATTCTTTCAATACCCATAATACTGCAAGTTTTTATCTGAAAGAAATGCCATGAAGCATTTGAATGATGAGCCACAGACCTTTGGTTGGGTTTACTTTCGCTTTTTGGCATGTTAAATACACATTTAATTTTAAATACATCAGTTAATGGCTGTTTATAAAGTCAAGCACTACCACTGGTCAGTTTTGTATGATAGGCTATAAGTGTGTTGTTACCTGCAGTGTAAGTATAGCACACTGCTGAATTCTCTTAAGGTGCATAGTTAATGTATAGATAGTCACAGGCGGTTTTGTAATGTATACATTTCTAATCTATTATTCCTAACCTGTTATGTTTGCAGAGAGAAAAGAATTTTTCTAATGATCTGTAAAATTATGTTAACTTCTACAAGTAGGTATTCTAAATAAACTTTTTAAAAGCAATCTGTGATCCAATGACTCCTGATATAATGTAGTAACTAAATTCTCTTTTTTATTTATTTTGCTTTGTTTTGGGGAGTGTGTGCAAAAGATGGCTTGACAGGGATTTAACAGAATCCCTAATGTATGTTTTATTTGGCACTTTATATTCTTTCTTAAATAAGTAGATATTATACATAGTTCGTACATTAAAAATGAGGTTCAGAGTTTCTAAATGACCCCAAGAACTGCACAATAAGGAAGAAAGCAGTCTCTGAAAAGGTGTAAGTGTTTTGAATCATGCCTACACAGTGCATTCAATCAAGTAGAACCTTGACTGTAGTCTTTAAATGTTTGAAATAACCCATTACTTAAGTCTATATTAAGATAATGTCACGTGATGAATACAACAAGGAAAAAAAAAAACATTACCGTTAAACATTGAAATGTTTTCCCCTCCAATCACCTGAACCTCAGATAAGTTCAGGAAAGTTTTACCCGATTTCCTCCTCCTTTCTCCCCTTCTAGCTTACCCCTCAGAATTTATTTGCTACTTGTAGGAATAACAGGATAACCTACAGTTTTATTTTTCTGCAAGGGGATATGGAGTAGGGGAAAACCTGTTAAACATCAGTATGTATCTAGGTCACTTTCCTGCTAATATTGACATGTTTGTTCTGCATTCTTGTGGATATTACAGTCCAGGAGCGATGGTCCACCCTAAGAATGTTGTGAGTAAATTGACAAATTCTTGATTCTACTTGCTCTAAGTTAGAGACTGTACAAAGTACTTTCTATTGTACCCACCTCAGAACTGTGAATTTTTTTAGTGTATATAATATACATAAATTTTTAATATATATAAACCAGGGACCACAGAAATTATTTTCTGATTGTCACGGATGATTGACTGGAAGGACCTCAGAAGCCTGTGTTTTAATATGAAACATTTCTGCTTGGGAGTTGTATGCAACACACAGGGTTAATTTATGTCGAATCGTACTAATGGTCATCGATGTGAATAAAGGGCAAACGTCTCTCATTTCGGCACAAGTGGTTAAACTAGTCGGGGTTTCTTAGACCCCTGAACGCAGGAAAGATCGCACGCCCCAGCGGAAGTCAGCCTAAAAAGGGCGGTGGCCAATCTCCGAGGCCATCCAGCATCCTAAAACCATGTGCGTGACGTCAGGGAGAGCGGTTGATAGAGTGTGGGCCCTGTAGGAGCAGACAGACGGACCCGGGGCAGGGACAGAACCCGCGGAGTGCAGACCTAGCAGAGCGGTGAGTGCAGGATGGCGTCGGGAGTCACCACGGTCACCTCGGTCTCCGAAGGAGCCGGCTGGGTTCCATTGCGCGGCCGAGCCCAGCGGCTGCACTTCCGGCTTCCTCCCCGCCTCTTCCGGCCCCGCCCACCAGCGGTCCTGCTCTTCCGCCCTCAGCTACGCAGAAGCGGTCCGCGGGACCCTGGGTCCATGGGGTCCCCGGGGTCCGTGACGGCGGCGCTGCGGGTGGCTGAGGTGCTCGAAGCCATCGCGAACCGCTGCGTGGGGCCAGAGGGCGGGCTAGTGTTGTGTACGAAGCCCACCGGCGAGGTGCTGCTTAGCCGGGATGGAGGCCGCCTCCTGGAGGCGCTGCACTTAGAGCATCCCTTAGCCAGGTACCTCGCGCCACCTGCCGTCCGCCGGGACCCGGGGGATAAAACGATCATCTAAGACCAGTGCAGACATCGGGTTAGCGTGCTGTCCAAAACGACTTGTCCTGGACCCCAAACCTCATCAGCTACCTAGAACATTTCTCTTTTCCCGTCCCTGGATTCTTAGGATAGAACCAAGTAGCTTAGAAAAAAATTTAAAAGTAAAGATAAGTCTGTGTGTCAAAAAAAAAAAAAGGTAGTCTTTATGTCTGTCTGTAGCTTTTAACTTGGCACCAACGTAGAAAATCTGAGTTACTTTTTTTCCCTTCCCTATACAGGATGATAGTGGCGTGTGTTTCCAGTCACCTTAAAAAAACAGGAGATGGTGCTAAAACATTTGTTATTTTCCTTTGCCATTTACTCAGAGGACTTGATGCAATCAGAGAAAAAGATCCATTCACTCCTGAAAATATTCAAACCCATGAAAGACACTGGAAAAACTGTAGTCAGTGGAAATTTGTTTCCCAGGCTCTTCTAACGTTTCAGACACAAATACTAGATGGTATTGTGGACCAGTATTTAAGCAGGCACTATTTGTCTGTCTTTTCTTCATCTGCTAAAGGAAGAACACTGCGCAGGCGCTCTTTAGAGTCACTCCTAGAAGCATATTTTTGTGGACGAGTGGGACGAAACAATTGCGGATTCATTTCACGGTTGACGTGTGACTACGTTCTCGAGTGCATGGCCTGTGAAAGTGGGATCGAAGTGTTTGAGTTGCTGGACAGCTGTTTTTTCGAGCTGAATGTTGGTGTTGCAGGCCTTCCTGTTTCCGCTTCCAGAATTGTGGACGGCCTTGTCCTTCACCGAGACTTCTCTGTGTATTGCCCAGCAGATGGTGACATTAGGATGGTGATGGTCACAGAAGCCCTCCACCCTCTGTTGTCATCGTCCAAATCAGAGCTGATGCTAAATTCGGAAGCGCAGTTTCAGGCGTCTCAGTGTTGGATCGTGGAGAGGACAGAGGCAGTAATGAAACGTTTGCAAAGTCAGAATATAAAACTGCTCCTGTCCAGTGTGAAGCAGCCAGACCTGGTTGTTTACTGCGCAAGACTACATAGCATATCCGTGGTGGAGTGCTTATCGGCCCAAGAGGTTTCTCTCATCCAGAGGATCGCCGGCCTTCCTCCTTGTGTTGCGCCATGGGTCACTTCACAGGGTGAGATTTTGCATACGACTTCGGTGAGATTTTGTAAACCCCTCATCCTTAGGTCCAAAAGGTATGTTCATCTTGGCTTGATGAGCACACGTGTATTTATACCTCACTGTATGATCCTTTGTGGACCGGTTCCGGGTCTTGTTCAACAACATGAGAGTGCTTTGCAGGGAGCGTTTAAGATGCTCCGGCACTTGTTTACCGACCTTGACCTAAATTACGTTATACAAACCAAGGACCAGTGCGACTCCCGTCCTCTTGCTTCCAACAGTAGCAGAGAGAGTCATCACCTACCAGAAATGGATAAGTATCAAGACATAACCGTAAAGAGCAAAAATAAATCGGAAAACACTCAGACGTATTTAAAAGTATATTCAAATCTGATGGCTTCCGATACAGAAGTAGAAATGCCTATCCCATGGTCAGCGCAGAAGGAGACGCCGACAGATGTGTCTCCAACAGGTGATATACGGAAGTGCTTGTCTGCAGAAAGAAACTGGATGATTGATGGCTGTGAACTGTCGATTGAGAATAATTCCACTGGAAACCCCACAGCAGAAGACACTAGAACAGAAATTTCTCATGAAAATGTACAGGTCACAAATAATCCTGGGAAAGGGTACACCTTGCCGGTGATGTACAAGTCCCTGGAGGCATGTACTTCCTGGGGTTATTGTTCATCAACTATCCCAGCGGGCTGTGTTCTGCCAGTGGGTGGTAGTTTCGAGATCTTGTTGCATTACTATCTTCTCAACTATGCCAAGCAGTGTAGGCAATCAGCTGAAGCCACGGTCGGTACGTTGATAGCTCGTGCACTTTTAGGCATCCCTAAAATCCTTTGCAAGCCTCAGAAGGGAAAGGCCAGCTTTCCACACACGTACATTCGCTCTCTCCGCGCGCTGCAAACCGGTCAACTTGTGGTAAGTAGCCAGTCGGGACTGGAGCCAGTAGCTGGGAAGTACCAGTTACTAACTTCAGTTCTGCAGTGTTTGGCGAAAATACTAACTATTGATTTAATAATCAGTATTAAGAGACAACCTCAGAAAACTAGTGACGAAGATTCAGAAGATGAACTTTAACACTCCAAGTTTTTTTGATGCTCAAACTTTGAATCGGGGGCCAGGGAGAAGGCAAACTCGAGGACCTGTGGTTAATAATGCCCAGGGCCCACTGACTAGAAGGAGAGGAGTGTGGAGTCCTAGGATTGTCCTGTGTCCTACACACACACATACGCAGATACAAACAATAAATGTCAGGAAAAAGATTTAACTCAGACGAAAAAATTAAAACAGACTTCTGGCTGACTTTCAAGTCAATACAGTCTTTAAGTACATTGAGTCCCCGACCATTCGCACACAAATATCAGTTCTAGGGAACAAAACCTGGCTAAAAATGTCTCTCTCCTATTATATACCTGTCTCAGGTCTGTGTTAGCCTGTGTCTAAGGGAGTGTGTCTGTATATTTCCCTTTGCTGTATTTTTTCCACTTCATTTCCTTGAACTTTCTGTATTCCTGGTCATGTCATCTCCCGGTGTGAAAGAAGTTGTTTCTCACCATGATATAAAATGTTATGTTTTATTTAAAATAGTTTTTGTAAAGCAGTAAATAAAAGTCCAAGTTTCTCTGAAAGCATTTGTGTGTCATTTAGTTCATTTCTGGTGAAAACGGTTGGGGACTGGGGAGATGGTTCATCTGCCACCTGAGCCTGGCACCCTGAGTTTGAGGGGGAGAACCAACTCCACAGAGCTGCCCTCCAGGCCCCACATGTACACTGTGGCCCTTTGCATGCACACGAAAAGAGTCAAGTTTCCAAATCTGCACCTTTGACTATCTGTGTCAGGGACCATTGTCCTAAAGATGATAGCAGAGACCATTGTCCTAAGGATGTTTGCAGAGAGCCCCACTACCTTGAGAACTGTTTGTTAACGGAACCTGCCCCACATCCCAACTATCTTGAGAACTGTTTGTTGGCGGAACCACAAAAAGAATGTTTCCGCTTACACAGAGAACACTAGGTGTGCTGACTGGTGACCTTTGCTACCTTGGCAAAGTTCCTTCTTACCCATACCCCCCACCCCAAGCCAAGTTCCTAATACAAGGGCTATATAAGCCGCAACCATTGCGCTAATAAACGGAGACCTTGACAAGTGAATTCTGCTTGGTCTCCTTTTCTCTCACCCATGATTCATACAGGTAGAACCTCTTCAGACCCTGAATAACTGGACCTGATGGATGGGTCGTATCTGTTCAAAAATGACGACGTTGTGAATTCACCTTTTATAACTGGAAGTTAATGCCAAGAAAGATGGGGAACGTATTCTTCCTCTTCTGGCTCCTGAACTCTGGTAAGGATTTAATGCAATTGCATTAAAATAGTATTTCTTAGTTTTGATGTATTGTCAGAATTCAATAGCAACCAATAGTGTGACAGTTTTTTCTAGTGTGAATTGACAAGCGTCTGCGTGTCACTTTTAAGAGCTTTATGGTGCAAACAACAGTTCCGTGCGTCTGCGTCTAGACACGAATAAGAACAGTGTCTTCTACTTTCAGTAATTCCCTGTAACACCCAAAACTGTGTTTTGTTTACACCAAATGTTTAAATGTGCGTGTTAAGTAGCAGAGTGTTATCACACCCATTCCCCAATACCTGTTTCTAGCGTATTTAGTCAGTAGATCCTCACTGTGCAAATACTAGGTTAGATGCTGGCTCTACTCTGCTGTCATGAACTTTCTTCAGAGGTTAATGGAAAGATGAACATTGGCTTGTGGTTGGATTTAGGAAAAAGTAAGACAGAAACACCTTTATATTTTAGAACTTTCTGACCAGTAATGTGTTTGTAAACTACTGGGCTGGAAAGACAGCTCTGGAAAAGGGGCTGCTGCACAGACCTGAGGAACCTGCATCCAGATCTCCCAAACCTACCTACAAGCCAGGCTTGGCAGCACGCTTCTCTAATTCCCCAGCTGGGAGACTGCCGGGAGTGGAGACAGGCAGAGATCCCTGGAGCTTGCCTGTGAGCCAGTCCAGCCAATTCATGAGCTCCAGATTCAGTGAGACTCAAAATAACTGGAAAGCAATAGAGAAAATTCATCCTAAATCACCCCCCCCACACACACACACACGCTGCCACTGTGTGCGTTTGCACCTGATCACATGTATTTATCTATGTGTCACGTACCACACAAACCCATAACATCTCCATGCAGTCCCATGATTGCACTCTCTTAAACATTTATGCTATATGATCCATTTCGTTATTGTTGAAATAGGGAGAATGATCTCTTACTGCATCCATAGTTGAATGGACCTACATTAGACTGCTATATAATTTTTCTGTTCATTTTTAATTGCCTGTCGAGTTATTTTGCTTCATTTTGTCTTTTGTTCCTTCAGTCTTTAAAGGCACTTCAAGATTTGTACATGGGCCAGCGGTTTGTATTGATTGTCTTTAAGGTGTCAAATGTCAGTAGTTAGACTACTGCAAGCTAGACTTTGTCTTTGAAAGGTTGGTACCTAGTGTCCCAGTCTGCACAAAGTGACTCTCCAGGAAGTGTGTGCTGAGGGCATATTTATTAAATGAATTAGTCACCTGGTACTCATAGGGAACCTCATGGAGTCATCATTTTCTTATAAATGTCCAGAGGCAAAAAAAAAAATCTATTTGGGCAAGGACAGAAGACATAGAACAGAGCGCTGTGCACGTACCCGTAACCCTAGCACTGAAAGGTTAGAGGCTAAAGGATCAGGAGTTCAGGGCTAGACCATCTCAGAAATAAGGCATGGGGCGGGAGGGAGGGAGGGACGGAGGTAGGGAGGGAGGGAGGGAGGGAGGGCAAAGGAAAAAAGTGTAGAACTGCTCTATACAAAATAAAAGTATATCCCCTGCTGATTGCTGAAACTGGCAAGTGATTTTTACAGAGTTAACACTAGTTAACACTAGGGCGCTTTCATCTTTGATGAAGGATGAGAGGCACACTGTGGGCAAAGGGGCAAGTAGTCAGAAATCATGCTGCTTTAGGAAAGTTGCAGTACCAGGTTCTCCTCCAGGGGTCCGTGACCACCCCAGCCATGGGTGTTGGGTAAGTTTCCAGCACCGCATATGAATTGCCTTCCACTGAGCAAACCTTAAGTCCAATCAGGTGGTTGCTGGTTACCCCAGGGATATAAATGCCACTGTTGCACCTTTAGGTGTAGCTCGCTGTGTGGGTGATTGTTGTGGTTTGCAGGCCATACAAGCTGTCACCCATATGGATGCTTATGTGAGTGTGTATGTTGCATTGTGTGTGTGTGTGTGCCTGCACTTAGTATGTTCATAAGATGTGGTGATCAAACAGGATGTGACATCAGGAAATGATTGGCATTGCCTATGATCATAGATGATAGTGACTTGTGAATTGGCATTGTTGCAAGGGGAAATAAAACTTAGTTCTGAAATAGTGTAGTAATTGCAGTCACTGGCACCTGCCCCTCACCGTTTACTCTTGATTACCATCCACACAATGGCAGTCCTGTGTATCATTGGATGCCCGCCTCACTCCATGTAAGCAGTCTTGGCCACTTAGGCACTCTACCCCAGGTCCATTCAGTCTGAGTCCTGAGAAGCATGATCATCTGCTCACAGACATGTAGCTTAAAGTCCCTAATATTTAGAAAATATCAAGGACACAACTCTAAATGGTTACAGAACTGACAACTCCAAAGAAATTAGATGTCTTCAGCTTTCTTGGGCATCTCCACAAACTTGCATATACCCACACACAGACACATAATTTAAAAAATATTTTTTAAAAAAATAATGGTAAGGATGCAGACATGGTATAAAATTGGTAAAAACAGCAAATTTGGAAGCTTTCATAGTGGCCATGGTTGTTTCTGAAACTTCATTAGATCCAAGAGTTCACACAAGATAAGTCACCTGGTGGTGGACTCCCTCACTGTCTACATGATGAGAAAAAACAAGGAAGGAGTTGACAGTAAAAGTGTGAAAGAAAGAAAGGAAGAAAGAAAGAAAGAAAGAAAGAAAGAAAGAAAGAAAGAAAGAAAGAAAGAAAGAAAGAAAGAAAATAAAGAAGGAAGGAAAGAAGGAAAAAAGAAAGGGAAGAAAGGAAGGTAACAAAGACAAAGAAACAGGACAAAGAGGTGTCAGAAGGAAAGGGAAGCTTGAACAGGTGACCATATATCAGACTGTTGCTTGGTGTCCTTCTGGACATAGAGTAAAAGAACAAGAACACGATCATGTTCTCTTTTTCATTTTAACAAAATACCTAAGTATCCATGGATCATGTGTGTAACTTACTGGGCGTTTACCATGGGTTTGTATCCTGGCTAAAGACTTTTCAGTATAATGACTCATTTAACCTTCAGAGTTACCCTACCTTGTTCTGGAGAGATGAAAGGTAGTTAAGAGCATTTGCAGTTCTTGCATAGGACCCGAGTCCAGGTCCCAGCACCTACCTGCAGTGGTTCAAAACAGCCCATAACTCCAGCTCCTGGAGCTCCAACACTCTCCTGTTCTGGCCTCTCAGATCTCCTGCACTCGGATACACACACGCATACACATTTTTTAAAATAAAAATAAAATCTTAAAATAATTACCCCACCTTAACTCTCAAAATGCCCACCTTATGAAGAAGAGACTGGCAGGGAGGTAATTTTCCCAAAGTCATTTGTGCAAAGCAATCTGGCATGTGTCCTGCCCCTAAGACATCACTAAGACAGCCAGGGATGTAATAAATAGATAGTACTTTAGGGTTCCATAATTTAGAAACGGTCTTGCATAATCATGGTTTGTTTCAATTTAACTTAGTATATAATTTAATTGATATTTCAACAGTAATTTTCATTTCAGTCAAGACCTCAACTTCTTGTCAGTTTTACAAGAAAGTAATGATGTCAGGGCCAGTGAGATGGTTCAGTGGGCAAAGGGACATGCCACAGCAGTTGATAGCATGAGTCAACACACAAGAGCCCAGAGAAACTGCTCAAATCTAAGCCAAGTCACAAAAATAGAAATCCAGAGAGAAGACTAGGAATATTGGTAGACATTCTATTGCTTCTTTCTCAGCTGCAGTTCCAAGACCCTCCAGGC